CGGATGCTCTGAGAGAGCGAGTACTGGGTAACACTTGAACTCTTAAAATGGACAATTAAATCACTGATCAAGTGTCCTGTTTCTCGATGTACATTGACCTATGCTTATTTATATAAGTTAAAAATAAATAAATAAATAAATATATATATATATATATATATTTTTTTTTTTTTTTGTGGAGAAATAATATATGGTTTTGGGGTCTTAAAATAAATTATCTTAAATACAGGAAGAGGAGCATTGAGGCTTAAAACACAGACTTCACACCTACCTAATATGATTTGCAAGTAAAACAATGTGATAAAGCAGGATTTTTTACCCCAGGAAATGGAAATTGGAATTTTCTTTTATTTGATAATGACAATTGTATTGTTTTGAAATGTGAGGGAACAAACATGAAAATTGCCATTTAATAATAAACAAAATAAGTTCATGTTTACTCAAAAAAATGATGGTTTCTTGATTATTACTAATAGTGGTCAGGTGGTTTAATCACTAAATAACCAGTTGTGATAGTTGTTAGATCCACCATGTTTGACCACAAATCATTGCTTAAAAGGACACTAAAGTTTGGTGCGGGTGCAGCGTCCCTGTCCTTTTAATTTAGGTAAATATAACAAAATTGGGGACATTCTGTGAAGGAAACAGAATGAAAAGCAACAATAACTGTGTTTAAAAAGTGAATATATAATTCCAGTTGGCCACTCACACTTTAAAAAACGAATATTGACCCTGATAAATAATATCCAATGGAGACCTTCTGATATCCATTTTACTGTTTCCTGTTTCCCCCTATTTAGTTATACTTATCTGTTTGTTTGTTTGTTTTTATTTTTACACTGTGTGCACTTTAGTTGTGACTGTCACAATATTGTTAATAGCAATTAATTTAGCAACTGCAGTGTTTACTTTGCAAGGTTAAATCCACCTCTAATGGCTGTCATATAGCCAATCGAGGCGCATTCACTGCCCTGAACGAGTCGTGTCTCGGTCAGGGATGTTTCATGTCTCGTGACACGGAAGCTCAATGTAAACAGTTAAGGAGTCTGTTCTGATGGAGCTAGACATCAGTTATTCAACATAATTTTATTATATTATATTATTTATATCTATTTTATTATTAATGGTATTACACTGTAATTTTCAAGAAAAAAAAAAGATTGCAGTAACTTGATAATTCTGAAAAAAATAAACTGTTAACAATGTTTATGCTCTGTGCCATTGCAGGTATCAAGATGGCGTATTCCAGCTTTGATCAGAGTTATGTCAACATTTCCGACTTGCACCCTAATCTTTCCCGCCCTGTGGGTATCAGTTACAATGTTATCATTTTTAAGTTTTGCACTTTGCCATCCTCTTCAGTCATACTCAAATGGCTTCAGCATAGTACGTGTCTGGTACAAAAAGTTTGCCTGGCAATTCAAATGGAGAGCAGAGAAGCCCAATAGGATGGGGCAGAGCCAAAGAGGGTGCAAGTCATCATCAATGACAAGCATGCCAAGATACCCCTTGGTAACGAGGGTTTCCTTGCTTTAAAGCAGGGGTTCTCAACGTTAGTCCTCAGGACCCCCTACCAGTCCAGGGTTTAGGGATTACCTGGGTGTGTCTAAGGTGTTTAGAAAAAGAAAAAAAAAAACACCTTAGAGTCTAAGGTGTTTTTTCCCCTTTTTCTAAACACCTGAGACACACCCAGGTAATCCCCAAATCCTGGACTGGTAGGGGGTCCTGAGGACTGGGTTGAGAACCCCTGCTCTAAAGGGACACTCCAGTCCACTAAAGTACTTTAGCTTGCTGAAATGCTTCAGGTGTGAAGACTGTGACCTCTTTTTAATTTTACAAAAAGTGCAAATTTCAAAAGAAACTGTTACTTTTATAAATTAACCTTCTTACATCCCCTGGCTGTCAATCATACAACCAGACCTGTTAGTTCCTGGTTGTTCACTCAGTGGTGCTAAACTCATGAGGCAGACAAATCATGCAGAGACCTGCCTTGGAAAGACTTCTCATTGAGCTACTTTGGGAACTCTGTGACTGGGCAGTAACAGAAAGTCTAGGCAGGGGGAGGGCTTCATACCAGAGATTTGCAGCTTTTGCAAGCTGTTTTTAGATATACCCCCAATGAACAAATGCATAATTAAAAGTATGAATGTTTTTATTGGGGATATATCTATTAAATAGTGATTTATTTTGTATTTGGGCAGTGGAGTGTCCCTTTAACTTGCGCATCTAAGTGAAAGTGAGTGCCTTTTTACACAGGCCAGGATACCACAGGCTGCTATTGCCTGCAAAAGTCCTTAAGTGTACATACAGGGTTATTCACTGACTAAACTATCTGGCAAATCAAAATCTAAATGGCAAAATAGAGGCTAAATGTTAGTGAAATGCGGATAGTTTTAGCCTCTGTTTTGCCATTTAGTTTTGATTTGATATAATACAAAGTGAATAAATCCATCATTGTGGTTTCCCTCCCCAATCCTCACTAGCTTCTATAATAAAGTATTCAAAAAACGGTCCTAGTGAGAGGTAGGATGGAGCAAAGGGGATGGTAAATGTGACTTTATGGCTAACTTTGTTTTGCAACACAAAATGAAAAATACATGTACAGGGATGGATTTACTTATCAGAAGCCTGTAGGCATAGAACTTTCAGACACCACTCTATCCAGCGCTGTATTTATAGCAAGGCTGACAAGGCATTTGCCTTGGTTGGCACTTTCAGAGGGTAACAAAAAAAGCCACCCCAAATGCCTTGCCAGCCTCTTCGCCTGGGTCACCAAGGAGCTGGCCGGCTGGCCACCTCAGGATTCCCCGAGGCTGGCATGCGCTGATGTGAGTGTTAGTGTGTGTCTGTTAGTGAGGGTGTGTGTGTGTCTGTTAGCGAGTGTTAGTGTGGGTCTGTTAGTGAGAGAGTGTGTGTGTATGTGTGTTAGTGAGTGTGTCTGTTAGTGAGTTTGTGTCTGTTTTTGAGTGTTAGTGTGTGTCTGTAGTGAGAGTGTGCGTCTATTTATGAGAGTGTGTGTGTGTATCTGTTAGTGAGTGTGTGTATCTGTCAAAGAGTGTGTGTGTTTGTCACTGAGAGTGTATATGTGTCTGTCAGTGAGTGTATTTGTCTGTCAGTGTATGTATGCAGTGTGTCAGTTAGTGTGTATCTGTCAGTGTGTGTGTCTGTCAGTGAGTGTGCATGTGTGTCTTGTCAGTGAGTTTGTTTGTATGTGTGTGTGCACGTGTCTGTCAGTGTGAGTGAGCATGCGTCTGTCAGTTAGCGTGTATCTGTCAGTGTGTGTGTCTGTCAGTGAGTGTGCATGTGTGTCTTGTCAGTGAGGTTGTTTGTACGTGTGTCTGTTGGTGAATGTGAGTATGTGTGTAACTGTGAGTGAGTGTTATTGTGAATGTGTGCGTATGTCTGTGAAAGTGTGTGTTTCAGTGAATGTGTGTGTTAGGTTAAACACTGTCTGTGACAATGATTGTGTATCTGTCAGTGTGTGTATGTCATGTGTGTGTGCATGCATCAGCGGGGCATGTGTCTGTCAGGAAGAGAAATTTGGAAGGGGGGGAGGGGTGCCGAATTTTGTCATGCCTAGGGCAGCACAAAACCAGCATACACCACTGCTTCTATCCCATTAAAAAAAAAATAGTCTGCACATTTATAAACTGTATTTCGAAGTGCTAGAGAAGGGTTAAAGTAAATGATATGTTTAGAGTTAGGTTTAGGCTTAGAGAGGGGTAAAATTTTGTTTTATAGAAAAGTGTATTGGATTTGGATAGAAAAAGGTTAACTTTAAGACTTTAAATGTTTAAATAAAGAGGATTTTTACAATTAAAGAGTGGCTAAAGTCAGGATAACATAGATGCTTGGGGCTTAGAAAGGTAGTGGAGAGGTAGTTAGGGTAAATGAGATGCTGAGTGTTAAGGGATTAGGGCTAGTGTGGTTTAAGGGTCATTTGAGTGTACTGTATTGCACTGCAATGAAAATCAGTCCTAATCACCGCCATCTTCAATAACACTGTTTTTAATAAGAGCAGCAGTTGCCACCTGCAGAATTAATAAGGGAAAAATACACTTTTGAAGAAAGATTTTACATGCCAAAGTTAGGTGCTATTACTGTGCATGTACCTGGGAAATGTGGCCCTACTTGTACTGTAAGGGAAGAGCATAAGCAGACAGAATCAGTTAGACAAGAAAATGTTAAATGAAAATGTATCCTGCAGGTTTTTTTTCATCTTTGAACATTTAAGTCATTTCACACCTTCAGTTATGAGTGTTACAATAATAGATCAGTACTTAAGAATTGCCAACACCTCTTAGATAAAAGCTTCTCTTTTATTATTCACATACGATAAATCTATCGCGTGCATATGAATATCAAAAAGTGAAAAAATGCGCACAAACATTACCCTAAAACAAGCTTCCCACACTTTATGCGTTTCATGGTATGCCTGCACTTCTTAGTAGGCACCTATGTCACCAAAAACATTAACCAGGGGCAGTTTATTAAACAAATAACAAAGTTGCATATATATTCTCAACCATCACAGTTTATATGTGATTTAGAAATAAATGTTTGTGGCTCACATTTACAACATTCATAAGGGATATTTACTTGTTTGAAAAACTGCTTAGATTGCTTGCTAAACGCATTACATGTAGCTATAAATTTATGTTGCATTTAAGTTACACAGGAAATTAGAATAGTTAAGGAATCTACAGGCAATGAATGTTAGTTACTTCAACCAATTAAATGATTACATAGAAAAACAGTATGTCGGTATCTTGTTACTTTCTGCACATGTCAGTTTCTGTGCTTGTTGTTTATAATGGTTTCCATAAAATATAATTCTACATGGAACAAATTTACAGGCTCTTGTGGAACAAACTTAGTTACATAATTGCTTTTAAGAAATATGTGTATTTTAACTTGTGGTGTACAAGACCATGAAATCTAATTTTTGCAGTACATCTGTGTTTTATTTGTGTATTCGCATACCATTTTTTATTTTTCAGAGCATAATAGGGATTGTAATTGGCAAAACAGATGTCAAAGGATTTCCAGACAGAAAAAGTTAAGCCTGTTTCATTACTTTTGGAGAGTTTTAAGAAATGCGTGCCACTGTGAATTTTTATTGGCTTCGAGCAATACAAATGGTTAATGTTAATTTGTACCTGCAAATTACTTAATTCTTACAAAAATGTATACTCAGATTTAGTCTTAATTAAGGGATTCTTTAATTAACCCCAAAGAGAATAATTGGACATTTTTGCCATGAGACAAGTTAATTGGAGATTCAGGAATAATAACACATTTATAGCATCCCACTGTGGTAGATATAGAATAGACCATTAAATTAATGTTAATTTATATATCTCAAATTATACTTATGTTTATAGTACTGTTGGCCTACACATTGAACTAAAATTGTAAGACTAAATTCACTTGGGCAAATGGAATATATATGTAGGCATTCGACACTAAGCACAAAATGACTGACCCACTATTCCATGTTCCCGTAGTACCTGGGATTGTTGAGGCACATAAGTCGCATGTACATGCTTGGTGAATTTTTAAGATTAAAAAAAATTTGGATTTTGGGAAGTTAAGAATATACTGTAAGGTAACGTCTACATGAGTCTGATAGAAACAAGAAAAATATATTTCCTTTCAATACTTGATGAATGGATTATTATATTAAAAATATTTTTGAGGTGACAGTTGTCCTTTAAGAATTTTTTATTTTTTTTGTTCCCACTAGGTCTAGTGCAGTTAATTGTTTCCATTCTTATAGGTTTCTATGGGTAAACTTTTTAGCAATTTGTAGGTAGTTTAAGTCAGCAGTCATGACTAGTATAGGGTAGCATTACATAACAAAATTCACAATAATTTTATTAGAATTCCTTTTACGTATACATAAATTCTCACTATACTGAGTGAGTACTAATTGTTTTAAAGGTCTGGTTTGGGTAGTTGTCCACTCAAGTCTTAAATTAGACTTAAAAAAAATAGACTCACTATGGTTATTACTTTGGGGGCCCGTGCAATCAGTATATCAAGATTGGTCCACCCTGGAAAAGTTCAAAGCTGAAATTCAAAGAAGGTCCCATAGCATGAGAAATATAGCATCCCCAGACAATTGTTTTGCTCTCTTGTATGCTTTTTTAGTAAGGTACGGGTGATACCACTTTAGGCACAATAAACAAAGGTTCCAGATAGCCTATCATTTTGTAGTTTTTGGTTTACAGTAAAAAAATTAAATTAAATAAAATTCCCTATGGTTTTTTCAATATTATTTGCATAGATGTTGGATCTGAAAGGTACACATTCAGTTTCACCATAAGGGATTCACCAGACTACTTTATAAATGCATCTTCCTGGGGACGAGGGGAATACATAAAATCTCTTGCTGAAAGTTTCAGAATTGGCGATTGTGGTAAGTTACATTATGTTCCTCAATATTTAATTAATTAATTAAACTTTTGCAGTTTTGTTGTACTGAGATGAACCACACAAAATGAATTTCAAACTAAAAGAAACATAGAGCTTTATCTGTGACTATTATAACATAAATTATTTTATCTATCTATGCTCAATATACAGATAACATCTGCTAACTTATCCTCTCTTTGTAAATGGATTGAAATTAAATCTCTTGCCTGACAATTTTCAGTATAAAAAAATGTCTACTAATTGTTTTAGTTTGAAAGTGATCCCTATCCTCCCATGTAGTGAAGTCTGAACACAATTCAGCAATGCAATAATGCCTGTTTAAGAGTGGGTGTCCTTGTGTGATGGGAACCTTGACCATTAGCTCCATTTGACAGGGGTTGGAAAGGGTAATCCCAGCATTGTTATGATTTAAGCAACTGTTTCAGGATATGGGCAGGAGTATTAATTTTTGACACAAAATAATACAATAATTAAACAATGTATTATTATTGCCTATTAACATTGATATCGCTGTTTCTTAAAAAGACTGTTTGCACCATTTGTATTGAAGTGCTTAAAGATACACTGCAGACACTGAAAGGGGTTTACTGCATGCCTATCTTGTTTCAACTCATAAAAGTGCTGATTCCATGTTTAATAGCAAGGAGAGATTTGATAGGGAAACTTTAAAGAAGCATTCTGTTGGGAAATTGCCTCGACCTTCACATTTGATAAGCGTATGCATAGCAATTGCCATGCATGCGCCAATTTCATCCAGACATAAAAGGGAGACTTTCATCACTGGCAGTCTTGCAGGGAAATTTAGGTTTAAAAAAATTTGTATTAAGGGTGTGCCTAGCATAGATAGGGTTCAAGGAGCACTCCAAACTTTGAAACCAAATATAGTTTTGTAACGTTAGAGTGTTTTTTTAACCCCTTAAGGACACATGACATGTGTGACATGTCATGATTCCCTTTTATTCCAGAAGTTTGGTCCTTAAGCGGTTAAATAAGGATGGTAGAAATATTATATATATATATATATATATATATATATATATTTAAAAAGAAATCTACTTACAGCTACCCAAATGTAGAATATAGCTAGGTGCTACCTGCATTCGAAATATATATATAAAACAAATATCCAGGGTGCACTCACAGAAATTTCACTTGTGCTTTTAATTAAAAAAAAAATAAGTCGATTGGTAGATATAGTTGTCTTTTAATTAAAACCACAAGTGAAGTTTACAAAGTAAGTGCACCCTGGATATTATGTGTGTGTGTGTGTGTGTGTGAGTGCACCCTGGATAGACACAAACACACACTGATACACAGACACACATTGACACACATCTGGATACACAGACACACTGACACAAATACAGATACAAACACTGACATACATACATATAAACAGGTATTGACATGCAGATACACAGACACACAATGACACTCATACAGATACAGATACTGACACACATACAGATACACAGACACACACATATACACAGGGGCACACATTGACACTTAAATTCACATACAGGCACACAGATACATTGACTCACAGATACACATACAGACGACACACAGATAGTTACACGGACACATAGATATACATACAGATAACTACACAGATACACATACAGACACACAGATAGGTACACAGGCACATAGATACGTACATAGCCACAGATAGATACACAGACACGCATGCACAAAAATACATATATATACACACACACACAGACACAGATAAACAGACACAAAAAAATACAAATACAGACACACATGCAAAATGGGCACATATTAAGCCACTTTCCTGTTTCATACCTTTTGGATGCAGGGGGTGTCCTACATGGGGTCTAGTCTGCTGGCTGTTAGGAGTCAAAGGCTCTTGCAATCTGCACCCCCCCCCCACCCCCCCTGTAGTTTGTTAGCTGGGAGGATGTGACCGGTTTTCACTTCCTCCCTGCTATTATTAAAGGAGCCTGTTTGTACCACTAACTAAAGACACTTTGCCATCGGGTGGCCCTACATGCACAGCACACTCGATGAGTGCGCGTGCCCCGGTGCAGCGTTAGTTCCTCCGCTGGGTAATAACAGGACAGTGATTGTCCTGGGTTTAGTGTCAAGTCAGCAGCTCAACTCACACTGACACAACAAATGCAATTAAGTTGTGTTGCTGCCCCAAGAGTTCATTTAATGTTATGGAATAAGTCACAGGGGATGTAATGGAATCAGCCATTACTTCCAGTTTACATTGCGATTTCAGTTTAGTAAAAAACTGAGATTCCCCAGGCCCAACTTTGATTACCGAATGCTCAGAACCAGCACTCTTCAATTGATCTTACCTTTATCTTTTAATTTATTTATTTATGTAATGAATTGTTTATTATTATTTTGAACTAGTGGTTAGTATTGTGATTTGTAAGTGTATATTATACTGTACCAGCCTACCCAACCACTCCATATAATATCTATACATTCAATAGTTTCAAACGTATATCAAAGATCTTCCTTTAAAATCAGTAGGAGATGAGTTTTTTATTGCTGAGGTTGGACTTTGCAGGAAGAGGATCAGAGCATGGTTAAAAATGCAAGATAAATAAATGCCACAGGCATTATGCACTGTAGCATATATGTATGGATGTCAGTTATAGGGTTAATAGTGGGGTTAAAAATCCTGTCAGACTGTTCGGTAGATCTGACGAATGGTGCGGTTGGACCACCTCCTTCCGACTCCATTTTGATTGTTATTTGTTGTGTTGTTTTTGTGTGCAATATAGGGGAAAAAATCCTCAGAGATAAGTTATGAGGATGGACTTGGTGGCAAATGACATGAAAGGCTGTCAGGTCATCTAGGACTGACTGGCTATTTGGTGAGGTTTAATACATAAAGTTTACAAAGTCTTAAGTCTGTTATTTGGTTCATTGTTTTCGTTTCATTTGGTTCATTGTTTTGAAGTTTATGGTTGTTATGCCCCCATGAGCTTCAAATAAAACACCACGGTCTAGCCCATTAACAGTTAACAGTTTGTGTCTGTTTTGATTGTGTGGTCTTTTTATTGAGATATATGCTATTGCCTACCATACATATACATTAACTAAAATATTTTATCTGTGTTAAATATTATGTTAATGGTGATGATCAGCCAACAGCAATCAAAAAACAGACATCAATGTTACTTTGTTGTTTAATGATGGAAATATGTGTCCTTGTGCTTTTCTGTGTTGGAAAAGAAAAGTGCTTGGACTATAGATTCTTTGTTTAAATGTGAATATTCACATAAGCATGTTATAATAATTGTGTGTGTGCCATTATTTTCTTAAAATAAGTACTGTTTGAAGATCATATAAATAAATACACTAATTACTATATAGATATAAACAATCCAGAAAAGTTGAAATAAATAAATTATATTTTAAAGTATATCTTATTTTTCTGAAATTTGTTTTGGTAAATATTTACTGGCTTTCTAAGCACAGAATGCATCAAGTACAATATTTACAATTACATGCAGATATGAAGATATTTCACAAAACGTTCAAAGGGTACACGACAGCCTGATTTGTACTCTGCAGTTCAATTTTACTTTGTTTAGACTGTAATAAGTAAATTTGTTTCATTTGTGAATGGTGTGGTTTAATTATGTCTATTTATCATTTCTGAGCATGCAAACTATTCTGAATCATATCCACTTTCTCTTAGTTATAATTGAAAATCCTCTTGTGCAAACAAAAGACGTAGAAAGAGAAGAAAAATTTAATCCTTCGACACCAAGGTAAATTATAAGGTCCTTGCTCCTGGCTCTCATAGGGACAGTAAATGTTTCCGTTCACTTAACTTCATTTGAAAAAAAAATATTTTAGATTGAAAACATATGAAATCTGTCCATTGAGTGTAACATGCTTATAACAATGTTTAAACAACATCAGGAATGATAGATCACATCATATGTAATGTGCTTTTACAGACTCTGATCAGACAGTTTGTATAACATTTTGATTGCACTATTTTGACAGAATACATTGGTTACTTTTGTTATAAGAGACAGCTTAGAAAAAGTCACTATTTTGTTTTAGTTACTACAGGTTACTTATAAGTGAAGTTCATTCCTTGGTGAAGATTTGTTCCAAACATGAAGTGGATAGCAATCTTCTGTCCTTATTGCACATACCTACGAAGGAGCCACAAGATTATTATTCTTTGGGTGACATTGTTGCCAATGGTCAGGGTCTAAATGGGAAAATTATTAATATTCTTGCAGCAGTTAGAGCGGTAGGTTCAAATTCACTTTAGATATAACAGTCAATAGCAATTTCATCTCTCATTCAGCAGTTTATTTTGAACAAACATTTGAATATACTAAATAGGGTTCCAGGTACCAAGGTATCCAATGAGATTTTAATGAGTACTAAGATTTACGCTTTGCATGAGGATGTCTAAAGTCTTGCAAACCCATATGGAAAAGCATTGATTTAATGCTATCCTATGGGGAAGGCATAATGTGCTCTCCGTGCATGCATATTAGGTTCCCCCCTTGCTGTGATGTCTCTGTAGGAGGAGAGTGATCCAGCACTGATGGACCTCGATGCTGGAATCACATAGGTCTAAAAAGGGTTTTTAACGCTTTCGTTGACTGGAGGGCATTGACATAGGGACACTGTAATGTTAGGAATACAGTTTTGTATAGTTTGCAAATCCTTTACATATAGGAAAGCATAATAGCTATATTTTGAAGAACATATGTTATAAAAGGATATCATTATATATTTTAAAGTAAATGGAAACTATTGCTAAAATACAGCTTACTCCTATCCCACTGTAAAGGCCAATCACAGGGTTAACAATCTAGGATGCCAGGCTGTAGAGGGATTATATGAGCACATCTATTAGTGAGGGAATAGGAACTGTAGTGAGGGCACATGCTACTGCAGTTTTCTGTGACTGCTTGTGCCACTGATGACCCTGGATACACATTGCCAGTGGTACATGGAAACATTCTTGTATAGGTCAAACTGACACATATATGAACAAGATTACTTAGCTCTTTATATTGTTTATTATAATGGCAGATTTAACTGCAAACTAGCATTAGAACATTGTCTAATGATATGTCAACTTTAATATCAGTTTTAAAATGCATGTATACGTATATCATTTGTTAACTAATTAGGTTGGAGAAATAAAGAATTTTATTACATCTGATAAAAGAAGAGGTCAGAGATGTGAAGTGAAGCTGTTTGACGAGTTTGTGGTTTCATTTGCAATGATATGGTAAGCTGTATTATATATAGCATTACAGGCAGTCTACGTACAATGGCATGATAAAGCGTGTGCATTATGGAGCTTTTGCCCTGAGTGTTGCCAACAATATAAAGTATTCACATACTGATATAGTAGCACATTGTCGACCCTTCACATATGGACAATATAATTAGCAATGTGAGAAATTATTGAAAACGTGTGAATTTGTACACATGTAAGGGATATGTAAATTCCTTTGTCTACCCCACTCATAAAACACACAATTTTAGAGTTAGTTAGCTAAAACAGCTTGAGTGAAACACAATTATATGTCAACAAACTTGATTTTTTAATCTGATATTTAATTGATTAATTAAAGTGCCTCTGTCACATTGCAGGATTATATTAATCCTTTTTGTTCCTCTGTTTCTCCTTCAGGTTTTTCAATTCACCGTAGATTTTCAGTTACACATAATGTTTTTTGACAATATTTTAGTGATGTTAGGAGCTCAAGCAAAGTTCATTTTAGCTGATAAGCTAATTTACCCACAATCCATCAGTCAAAAGACCTCCACAGAAGGGCAAAATGTAGACATTATGGACAGAGGAGAACAAAATGGAGTTGCCAGTATTGAGATTCAGCATCAGCAGGAAAAGATATCAATGTGAATAAAGGCAATTGGAATTGGAGAGAGTACGATCATTAAAAAACAAAGGGCATAAGGAAAGGAAAATTTAAAGAAAATCAAACACGACAGTGATTTGAAGTGGTCATGGTGCCTGGAGTCTCTATGTGCAGCGTTTCACTTTGAAACACTGCACATACGTAGACTAACCCTGTTAGTTAGCCCACTACTAAGACTGAGCACCTACCTTTAAATACAATTCTAGCTGGAAAAAAATTGCTCTTCAGTGATTATAGCCCTTTCCCAAACACTAGACGACTCATAGTGTAGGGTACAACAATAACAACTGTTTATTGTTACGAAGCAATAACAAAAGGAGGTCATCAACAGGCACCTATGTGTCTGGGGGATGATTCAACTAAATTCTGCTGACTTTATTAAATCCCTAGACATCAGGACGCCGTATACATAAATGATACATTCCCGAACAGATCTCGTTCCCCCCAGTAATGTGTCCAAAAATATATACTTAGCCTGAGAAATCATCAAGTGAAGTTTGACTGGGCTGAAGCTACACCCTGATATGGTGCAAAGTTCCAGGCTACCACTACTAAGTGCTAGTCTTTGAAAATGTCCTGTTATGTCTTAGGAAAAGGGGGCTCCCCTGATGCAGCCTCTGCCACAAACCCCTTAGATGCCAGAAGTGTAACTCCACCTCCGGTAGAGTCATAGAGGTGTGATCAGCTCTAGCCTGGCTAATGCCAAGTCTGTGCAATTTTCATTGTACAAAAATTCAGTCATTGGCTGAAAGCTGTCAGCTGAAACTCTCAGCCCAAGAATGCCAACAGCAGCAGCATCTAGCTTTTGCCAGATGAGTGTCACAGGACTACCAGGGAGCACTGGAGCCTGTTAAGGAAGAAAACCAGTTGTAGTGGTTATGATGATGCTTGGAGTAACACTTTAAGTTATTTTCCACAATACCAATGTCACCTAAAATTCTTGGAATCCATAGTCCAAATTGTTTGCAAATATTATTTACATTTTGCTGGATTCTGTTATTAGAGTAATTTTTCCATCACTGACAATCTAGATGTCAAGACTGACTCATAGAATTACTATTTTTATCATTATTTTCCATTTTCTATCTTCAAATTAGCTGGGATAATGAATCCATCCAAATGGCTCAGTCTTGGATCCCACGAGAAACTGGTATGCTGTGCTTTATTTGGTATTTCCATATATTTAAATATTGTTAAAATTAAATTCTTGAGTTTGTATATTAATAACTTGACATGAATGAGTTCTTAAACCAGAATGTATGATATGATATAGAATGTATGATATAGAATGTATGAAAAAGGTACTAAAAATAATACTTCACCTGTAATAAAACTCATTATGAAGACTCTCATACAAAATAACATCCAAACATAAGAGATTTGCCCTTAAAAAATAAATGAAATGCTTGTATGAAATGTATATTTAGCTTCAGATCGTTATCCATGGATCATATACATAAAGTAGAGAAAAATAAAACAAAAACATAGTGAAATAATATTTTGGAACTCAAACATATATTAAGGATACAAGACCTATAGAGGGATAAGCTGAGCTATATGTTTCTGATACAATTGGAATAATTAAATAAATGTTACAGATAGTGAGACAATGCTTGATTAGCTCACCATATACCATTTTTACATAATAAAGTGTGTAATAAATTTGAATGATTTTAAAGGATCACTATAGGGTCAGGAACACAAACATGTATTCTAGGCCCTATAGTGTTAACACCACCATCTAGCCTCCCTGGCCCCCTCATGCCTCCATAAATATAGCGAAATCTTACTGTATTCAAGCCTGAAGCTGTAACTCTGCATGCTGTTAGACTCAGAAAAACAAGCAGTCTCCTGACATCATTAGAAGTGGTGGCCTGATCCAATCACAGTGCTTTCCCATAGGATTGGTTGAGACTGACAAAGAGGCAGATCAGGGGCAGAGCCAGCACAATTCAAACACAGTCCTGGCCAATCAGCATCTCCTCATAGAGATGAATTGAATCAATGAATCTCTATGAGGAAAGTTCAGTGTCTGTGTGCAGAGGGAGGAGATACTGAATGTTTGGATGCATTTTATGCAGCCATGACCCAGGAAGGATCTCTAACAGCCACTGAGTAGTGGCCAGTGAAGTTATCACTAGGATGTAATGTAAACACTGCATTTTTCTCTGAAAAGACAGTGTTTACAGCAAAAAGCCTGAAGGTAATGATTCTCCTCACCAGAACGAATTCAATAAGCTGTAGTTGTTCTGGTGACTATAGTGTCCCTTTAAGTTATCTGTAGTGCTGTGGGGAATATCTGAATTGTGAGAGGGCTCCAACTCCTAGCAAGTTTGGACAGCAAGGCTATTATACTGAGGGTAATAACATGCTGGGAAGCGGCTCCTGAGATTGTGAGTGGAAGATTGAATTATATTCACATTTTTGCAGATTAAAATCAAATGGCAAAACTGAGGCAAGCGTAACCTTGTTGTGACTATGGCTAAACTAGAGAATTTTTTTCAAATCAGCTATTTTTACCTTTATTTTTCCATTCAGCTTTAATTCGCAAAAGATTTTGTGAATAACCCTGACCGATTATCATACATTATTGCATTGTATTTATTATGTTTTTCTCTTTCGTAGCTACACGATCAGTGGAAAAATTTCTGAAGCAAAATCTATATTGAATATAAGTAGTTCATTAATTTTAAAGAGCACAAGTTGCGTTCGTTTTAATTTATATGATTGGTGTTTTATTTAAATTAGCAGAATAATTTTTGTCTGTTAAGCATTTTATTGCCATAAGAAGCACTGTGGTCTGGAGAATGAAATTAATAAGAAATACAAGACACATGTAGAGAATGAATTAAATGTCCAACTCATTTGAATTATAAGCTGGTTTTGATTGGCTGCTTGGAGTGTCACCCAGCAAAAATACAGCTAGAAATCTGAGTGAGTTGGTATTGTACACGTATTATGGAAAACTAATATCAACTATCAGGATAATTTACTAAAGTGAGAATACAAAGTGAATTCAAATTTAATGCCAGAGTAGCCAATGGATGGTAGTCAAGACTTACTGTATATCGTTTCTATTAACTTAGGTCAGATTCTATTTCTAATCTGTAATTAAAGGTTAGTAAGGTAAAGATTAATTTGTAACTGATGGTACGAACTAAAGGTTATGTAACAGCGCTTAAAAATTGTTCAGTGATTAATATTATGAATTGTTTCTTCATCTCCAGTCATATTTGCAGCCGACATAAGAATAAATTATGACACCTTCCGAAATGCTATGGTTGCAACAGTTGTGTCAAAAACTATTTTCACGACAAATCCATGTAAGTTATGGCAGATATTTTTTCGATTTATAGATTTTTACTTTACTGATTGGCACATGCATTTAAAGCTACAATCCAGCATTATAAATAAATACATTTGTTTATGATACTGGAGTCTTAAGGAGTTTCCTGGGCTCCTTATAGTTCCATTCCATTCCTGTAAATAAAAGGTTACTTACCTGTAACCCAGTTGCAAGATGGTCTCCTCGCAGCTGCTCCTTTCTGCCCACTAGGAGATCAACAGTGGAAGGCTTTGCTATGTTCATGCCCATGGGGCTTCTCTTGAGAAAAAGGATGAAGTTATATGGGATAACATCCTCCCAGTGCTGCTCCACAGGACTTGAAAAGGATCAGACAGTGCAGTTTGGCAAGGGTCTCACCGCAATTTCAGGTTGCTGTTAGAGCAGATATTTATATCTCCCCAATTTGATCATAAAGTTAACATGTGAGCACCTGTTCATGGCTAGGTCCCTTAATGGAGAGCTGGCTGAACCCTACTGATGACAACTCTTCTTGTAGATATTTGCATCTTTACGTGTTCATTTACATTGTTTCCTAAAGTATTTACCTTATATATCTTTTACAAGATACACCAGAAGGAAATGCACTATTATGCTATACAAGAGACTGCACAGAAATGGGAATTTTTAATGAAGAAAATGAAGACTTCTCAAAAGATTCAGTAAACTGTGAGTGGGAGTGTTTAATTGGGCTATAGGAAATGCTAAAAAAAATACAGACTTATTTATATAGTTAAAACTATGTTTATATAGAGGTTTTAAACCTGTGTATGTGTATGTGTATCTTACACTGTTTGTGTTTAGTTTGTGCCGAGGCTATATATAATGTGTGTGACTGGATTTGTGAAGGTTGAGTGTGTGTGCCACATCAGAGCATTACCATGGCAACCTGCAGCAATGGCTGTGTCTTGCGAGAGGATACTGTTGGAGGTGAAATGTGGAGTCTCCTGGGTGTCCTCTTCACTAGAGAAGCCAGCAGGGCATATATATTTATATAGCGTTACTAGCTAGATAAATATATATAGGCTATACAGTTGTACTGGCTGGTCCATGCCACAGCCTATCAGAGCTGCTTTGGAAGCATGAGAGGGAACCATGCGATATTAGGCAGGTAGTTTTATTGTTGTGGCTGATCAGTGTATATGGCTAAAGGATCCTGTCATATACTAAAGGTAGTGATGTGTTTTTCTAATTTTTTTACACATACTGCAATTTAAAAATCCATTTACTTTTATAACTTGATAAAAAGATTATTATATTAATATATGCTTGAGATAACAGTTGTCTTATAGGGCCAAAGTAGACAAACTGGAAAAATTCTGTTACTTTCACCTTATATTTGAAATTCAATTTGTATTCACTTATAATACCAAGCAATTCTTACTTTTGTAAATAACCCTGTAAGTATATGACAGTCACTACCTTTGTTAAAGTAAGAAAGAGATCCTCATAGTAGACAAACTTTTGGATCATTAGTCAACATTAAAAGCCTCATGGCATTTATGCAATATCAGGGTTATTTACTAAAGTGAAAATTCAAAGTGAATTAATTACACATTTAATGCCAGAGTAGCCAAACTGACAGCATAGCTGACTTAGAGAATTTTTCTAGTTCGGCTTTTTTGGTATTCAAAGCTGTTTATTGAGCAAGGCAAAACACTCAAAAGTATGCTTGAAAACGCAACAAACAGATTTGACACGCAGGTCCTAACGTCAGTGCGAACATCTAAACAGTGCGATACAGCTATATAGTTTTCTGTAATGCAGGCTAAATATCAGTGTAATGTGCATCGTTGTACCGTGATAGCAGAGAAAGTGTCTTGACCAACTCATTGAAACAGGAGGCAAGGTTGTTGCTGACATGCAACAAAACATTAACCAGTAAACATTACCTAACAGGTATAGAGCGGACAATATGATCCTCGTACGGCAATAGGTATGCGGAGTATCTGTTAGCCATGGTGTCTGTGAGTGGATAAATTCCAGCCCTCCAATCTGTGTGGGGGCAATTGTAGGAGCTTAGAAAGGGAAAAATAAAGGATGAAGTCGTAGCAGGGAAAATGAATGGGTCAATGGAAAAGAGAAAGATGGGAACACTTGTGGTGAAGTATGAATAAGTTTGGCTATTTTGACCTTAAATTTGAAATTCACTTTAAATTATCACTTTAATGAATAACCCTGTTTATATTATGTCTTTGCATGTTTATTAACATTTCAGTACTCCGTAAGTGCTGTGTAAATTGTTGTTGTTTACATAAATAAATGCTAATCACAAAAAAAAAAACTTCTATCTCTAGTGGAGTCAATACAGGATGTATACACAGTTCAGCAGATTAAAGAAAGAGCTTCTCTGGGTTTGGAAAAAAACGACACTTTGTATGGGATAGTTTTTGCTTACATATCCACATTGAATATTGATTCTGATTCTGACAAGCTAATTCGTAGTAGATGGTGAGTCTGCTGTATTTCTTGCGTATTAGAGTTTCAGTACTTAATGATAACATATACTAAAAATATTTAGAATTTGATACAATGCCAGCATGTTTAACAAAAATGTACTTCCAGATAATCAAATGCCAAGGAAACTGTGACTTGTAATACCAGTTGTTGGGGTTCTTGTTCCCACGATGCATGCAGACTACCAATATGATGTGCGGTTTATCTATTAATTAAAGAAAATTCAAATAAAACACACACACACTCTCTCTTTAGATTTGTTTCTTATTCTTTTTTTTAAAACATCATTAGAAAGGCTCTTAAAACTACCTTTATCCAGTGCTGGGACAAACTCCAAACTGCAGCTCTTACAGCCTATGGTGAAATGATGAGTGATGATTTTTGTCCAATCAAATGCTTCTGAGGTCACGGTGCATGTAAGATATTTACTATGATTGGTCAATAATAGAGAAGCATTGAACACGCGTAGTGTCCAGCGTCAACATACTTCATGCTGATCCGTAATGTCAAATAGAATTAATAACTTAATGTATTTTAGTCTGAAGCCCAAGATGGCTGTCTATCTGTGGAAATTGCAAAATGTCAACAGTGCCATTTCTCAGAAAAGCTTCATGGACACCACCTATACCCCCAAATCACTAAATTAAGATGATTTTGGCGTGTAGACTATCCCTTTAAATTCCACTTGTCAGTAGAATGTGTTAGGTTCATCTGTTTCAAATAAACATATGTCATATTTGCACTTCAATTTGGCTCTCATTTAGATAGGTGAATGAATCTAATGCATATACAGGTTTTCTAATTCAGCTAATTACAAACAGCTAAACTACAACTGAATCCCATTAATGTGATGCAATAACTCTATGTTTACCTAATATCACCTGCAACCCATTTACCCTATAAGCATACCCTAACCCTAACACCCCATTCTCTCAAACCTGACTCTTACAGGGAAGCTACAACTCCAGGCCTGGATTAAAAAAAATCCAGAATGTTTGCCTATTGGCAGCACTAGCCAGCCACCACATTAAAAAAGTTAAAAAAAATAATTTATTGAACAAATACAAATGCTATGGGGATCAATAACCTCTATATTGCTATAACCTTGTCGCTAGTAAAAGCCCCATCCCATGGAGATAGGGCCTGTGAAATAAAGGGGGGTGGAATCATGGTCATCATGTGGGGGCTACTTTAAATATTACGGGGAGGACCTAAGGTAATGGATTCAAGTGCAAAATGCTGTCCATGTGCCACCCACTAATCTGAACATCAGAGCAGGATTAACCATAAAGCAATCCTACAGAGTCGCCTAGGGCCCAGGGATTAGATAGGCCCTGAAAACATGAATTTGTTTTTCCCCATGACTTAATTAGCACCACACTCATACACACTTTCTCAAATACAGAGATACAGTATACACACAAACATTATTGAAGTTACTGGGTGTCAGACAGCCAGAGTTTAACGCTCTCCCCAGGGCCGGATTAACACAGGGGCTGATGGAGCTGCAGCTCCAGGCCCAGGCCCAGGCCCAGGCCCATGGAATAGGCCCATTTAAAAAAAAAAAAAAAAGTTACTTTTTTTTTTTACACGCTACTCTTAGGTTTGCCACCTGACTGGTATTTTACTGGCACAGCTGGTATTTGAGGCTGCCTGGCCAGGTCCAGTGTTGCAGTTATACAGTTGGGGACACTGAGGCACTTGAGGACTTTGGAAAACGGGGGACACTGAGAGAAATGGGTACACTGAGACACCTGGGGACACTGTGAGACATAGGGACATTGGGAGACACTGAGACATTGGGACACGGAGACACTGAGACATTGGGACACGGAGACACTAGGGACACAGTGTCCCCATGTCTCCCAGTGTCTGTGTCCCTAGTGTCTCAGTGTCCCCTAGTCTCCCAGTGTCTGTGCCCCCATGTCTCCCAGTGTCCCTAGTGACTCAGTGTCTCCATGTCTCCCAGTGTCCCCAAGTGTCTCAGTGCCCCATGTCTCCCAGTGTCCCCAAGTGTTTCAGTGTCCCCGGGTCTCTCAGTGACATGGGGACACAGTGAGACATGGGGACACTGGGAGAAATGGGAACACCGAGACACTGGGAGACTAGGGGACTGGGCGACATGGGGACACTGACACTGTGATACAGAGGGACACTGAGAGACTGGGTGACTTACAAACCTGAGACACTGGGAGACACTGGGAGCAATCCATCTATATAGCAGAATCAAACTGTGAGTAGTTTGTTGGTGATTTTACAGAATTTTCTCTTGGGTCACTCCTTGTGATTTACATCATGTGATGTCATGCATAACTAATTAATTATTCAAATGTATAAGGCTGGTATTTTTTTCCAAGAAAGGTGGCAACCCTAACTACTCTTCACATACTCTTGCTTAAAGGAACACTAGAGGGTCAGGAACACAATCATGTATTTCTGACCTTATTATGTTAAAACCACAATTTAGCCCCCCTGGCCTCCTCAAATATAGTAAACTCTTACTTGTATTCAATGATGCAGCTGCTGGCTCTGTCCCTGTTTGCCTCTAAACTGACTCTGTCTGCTGACATCATCAGAAGTGGTGGTCTGCGCAAATTACAATGCTTCCCCATAGGATTGGCTGAGACTGTCAACTAGATCAGGGGCAGAGCCAGCACAAGTCAAACATAGCCCTGGTCAATCAGCACCTCCTCACGAAGATAAACTGTCTCAATGCATCTCTATGAGGAAAGTTCAGTGTCTGCATGCCGAGGGTGGAGACACTGAATGGCGGTGCTGCACACTAGGCAGTACTGCCCCAGGAGGCACATCTAGCAGCCATCTAAGGAGTGGCCATCAGAGTTATTTTCTCTGAAAAGACAGTGTTTACTACAAAAAGCCCGGAGGGAATGATTCTGCTTACCAGAACAAATACAAAAAGCTGTAGTTGTTCTGGTGACTATAGTGTCCCTTTAAGTTTGGAAGCTTAAGAGGGATGCATGAGAACAAAACCTGTGTGGACTGGCTAACAATAAAATAAGTTTAGATAATGCAGACTTTGGTCTCTCTAACACTGTGGCATGTCCCCTTTCTTCTACACTCACTACACACATTTTCTCTGTCTCAGACTATATACCAGGAACTTCTGCCTGCTAGTAAGATGATAAGGAGACAAGTGGACATGTGAGTGCTAGGGGACAGTCCTTAGAAAGTGTGTAGGCACATCATTTGATGCATTTATGTCAAGCTCAGGGTGCTGCCTGCATAGTAGGCCCTTAGTTGGACAGCCTGCATGATTGGCAGGCAGTCTGGCATGCATTCATGCCAGGCTGGCCTTCCATTTCTTTGGACAAACATGCCCCCTTTTTGGGCATGTTCACCCCTTTTGGCAGGTCTGGTCACGTGATTCGCGCCAGTGGCACACTCTTTTACCCTGCACATTGACTTCCTGCTTCACTGGACACTGCTGTTAGGGGATATGGATTTACTTGAAAGATGAAAGCATAAATTAGAGAGAGATTAGCCAGGGCCGTCTTTAACGCTGGGCAAACGGGTCAGCTGCCCCGGGCCCAGTTGCTCCTGGGGGCCCAGAGCAGCTGCCTCGTGGACCCCGCGATTTGCGCAGGCCCTGCGGTGCGGCTCCCGCACACTGAGGAGGCTCCCCGGGTGGCCCATGCACTAAGGGCCACCCGGGGAGCATGTGTCAGCAGGGGCCCGGTCGGGCGCTGTGGCGCTTAAACAGCGCGACCGGGCCCCTCTTCCAGTTCTGCAGTCGGCTGGGAGGAAGTGACGTCACTTTCTCCCACCGGAGATAGCCGCACGGGAGGAGGAAGGCAGGGAGGAGGGGAGTTCCAGAGGAGAACTCCCATCTGCCTCAGCCTGCCACTGGACCAGGGAAACCACCCTCCAGGAAAAGGTAAGAACCTGGAGGGTGGCTAAATGTATGTCAGTAGGTCTGTGTGTGTGTGTCTGTGTGTGTGTCAGTATGTCTGTGTGTATGCTAGTATGTCTGTGTGTGTGTGTCAGTATGTCTGTGTGTATGCCAGTATGTCTGTGTGTGTGTGTGTGTGTCAGTATGTCTGTGTGTGTGTGTATGTAGGTATGTCTCTGTGTGTGTGTGTACGTGTGTGTCAGTATGTCTGCCAGGATATATTTGTGTGTCAGTGTATGTGTGTGTCAGTATGTATCTGTGAATATTTTAATGTCTGTCTGTGTGTATGTCAGTATGTCTGTGTGTGTGTCAGCATGTCTTTGTGTGTCAGTATGTCTGTGTGTGTATGTAAGTATGTCTGTGTGTGTATGTGTGTGTCAGTCAGTATGTCTGTCAGTGTATGTGTCTGTGTGTGTATGTATGTATGTCTGTGTGTGTGTGTGTGTGTGTGTGTGTGTCAGTATGTCTGCCAGGATATATTTGTATGTCAGTGTATGTGTGTGTCAGTATATATCTGTGAATGTTTAATGTCTGTCTGTATCAGCCATTACGTCTGTCTCTGTATATGTCAGTATGCGTGTGTGTGTGTGTATATGTCAGTATGCCTGTGTGTGTGTGTGTGTCAATATGTCTGTCAGTGTATGTGTCTGTGTGTTTTAGTATATCTGTCAGTGTGTTTGTGTGTGTGTCAGTATATCTGTTAATGTATGTGTCTGTGTATGTATGTATGTCTGTGTGTGTGTCAGTATGTCTGCCAGTATATATTTGTGTGTAGTGACTTTGTGTGTCAGTATGTATCTGTGAATATTTTAATGTCTGTCTGTGTGTGTATGTGCTAGTACGTCTGTCAGTGTGATTGCGGGTTGGACGTAATTGGGGGGTGAGGCAGTGGCAGGGACAGGGCCCATGGGGCCCAAGAAAATGCATTGCCCAGGGTCCTAATCATATTATAGACGGCCCTGAGATTAGCATAGAGTATGTGTTTTCGTATAGCTGCGTCCTTTGAGTTTCCCTCCAACACCATCTCCATCAGATACATGATGCTTGGGAGGTATGATCGTTTTAGTGTTTTTGGTCGATAAGATTCTGTAAATAGGCCCATCATAATTGTCAGCACCAGGCCCACTGGGCTCTTAAAGGACCACTCTAGGCACCCAGACCACTTCAGCTTAATGAAGTGGTCTGGGTGCCAGGTCCTTCTAGGGTTAACCCATTTTTTCATAATTATAGCAGTTTCAGAGAAACTGCTATAATTATGAATGGGTTAAGCCTTCCCCCTAATCCTCTAGTAGCTGTCTCATTGACAGCCACTAGAGGCGCTTGCGTGCTTCTCACTGTGAAAATCACAGTGAGAGCACGCCAGCGTCCATAGGAAAGCATTGTAAATGCTTTCCTATGAGACCGGCTGAATGCGCGCGCAGCTCTTGCCGCGCGTGTGCATTCAGCCGGCGGGGCGTAACGGAGGCGGAGAGGAGGAGGAGAGCTCTCCGCCCAGCGCTGGAAAAAGGTAAGTTATTACCCCTTTCCCCTTTCCAGAGCCGGGCGGGAGGGGGTCCCTGAGGGTGGGGACACCCTCAGGGCACTATAGTGCCAGGAAAACGAGTATGTTTTCCTGGCACTATAGTGGTCCTTTAATCTGGCCCTGGCTCTCCCCAACACTTAGAGGTGTTACTGATCTCCCTGGCTAGCTGGCTGCACTTTAATTTGTTGTTGGGTAGCCAGCATTTAAATGATTACTCAAAACCTTTTTAACATTTTGTTGTTTTAACTTACTTATTTGAAACTTGTCACTAGCACTTGTTGTCGTCCCCCCTGTAATTTGTTACCAAAATCCTGTAAAATAAGCTTTACACTTACCTTGAATCCAGTTTTCTCTGTTTCTGTGCCTTCTCTGTCACTGCTACCCTTTCCAAAGTCCAATCAAATGGTTCTCATTTGATTGAACCTTTGTTGAACCTTGGATACATGCATGCAAGTGAATCAGCTTCTTCTGATAGAGAAGCATCGAATCAATACATCTTGTCACTAAAGCCCACCCACCTCATGATTCCAGATTCCATACAGGCCCCAATGCAGCGACTAGCAGCCAGCACAGATACTTCTTGTACACTTCTGAGTCGAGGAGGGTAGCATGTTTCGGGTGGATAAAAGGAGGAGATAAATAAAAAAATAAGGACAATTGAAAGATTGGGCATGGGTGCAAGGAGAGTTTTTATAAGAGTGGTAGTGGGGGAAAAAAAGACAACTGAAAGATCATATGCGGAGGCAGGGAGGGCTTGCATAGGAAGGGAGGGGAAAAAACATGGAGATTGAGAGATTATGTAGGGAGGTAGTGAAGGATGGGACAAATTTTATTGTAGACATTTAGTTGGCTTCTACTTGCAGACTTGCTCACCATTTAAGACTGCCCAATACCAATACCAATAAATTGATTATATTGTTGAATCAGATTTGGGTGGCAGGCTACATGACATGGATAGAACTGTTTGGGTCATTTTAACCCGCAGTAACCAATGGTAGTTAATGATTTCTTATACCTCCCCTTAAAGGACCACTATAGTGCCAGGAAAACATACTTGTTTTCCTGGCACTATAGTGCCATGAGGGTGCCCTCACCTTCAGGGTCCCTCTCCCGACGGGCTCTGGAAGGGGGAAAGGGGTAAAAACTTACCTTTTTCCGGCGCTGGGCGGGGAGCTCTCCTCCTCCGATCCTCCTCTTCTCCTCCCATGCGGCTGAATGCGCACGCGCGGCAAGAGCTGCGCGCGCATTCAGCCAGTCACATAGGAAAGCATTAGGAATGCTTTCCTATGGACGCTTGCGTGCTCTCACTGTGATTTTCACAGTGAGAAGCACGCAAGCGCCTCTAGCGGCTGTCAATGAGACAGCCGCTAGAGGAATTGGGGGAAGGCTTAACCCATTCATAAACATAGCAGTTTCTCTGAAACTGCTATGTTTATAAAATAATGGATTAAGCCTAGCTGGACCTGGCACCCAGACCACTTCATTAAGCTGAAGTGGTCTGGGTGCCTAGAGTGGTCCTTTAAATATGTAACTTTTTTCTTATCTTAGGGCTCTTTATCTGCATCCTAGAATGTGGAGTGCCAAGCAGCTGGTTGACAACCCTGTACAGTTCAACACAAAAAAAATATTTGTCTTAAATAGTACAACTTGTAAGTAATAAGAAATATACATGTGTGATTCTTATGCAGCTCAAGATGCCGTTACCTTATGACTGATACATTAGTGGGGTGCACGTATGCTTTCTGCAATGAAAGGTCTTCTGACCCAAAAACTGTGATTCCAAGCTTGGATTTAAAAGTGGACATAACTGATCATACTGGAACCTTGTCTTGTAACCTGTCTGATAGTGCTGCTGAGGAAACACTCTCATGCACGGTAAAGTTTAAATGTTTCCTGATTTTCATTATATCTAGTATTAATATCCATCTAACAAAATGGAAAAACAAGGTCTTGCAGTTTTTTACTATAGTTAAACATAATTATTTCTATTGAGTCAGCATGTCAAAACATTTGGCATGTATTGTTAATACATTTAAATGTAGTTAACGCCTAAGACTTATTAAGCAAAACAAAAAGAACTTTCTCAGGCATGTGAATTACTTTAAGCAATATCTTGATTTGCTGTTTATTTAAAAAAATAAAGATATTTTGCAAGCTTGTGATATTGTTTAGTATATCTGAGGGCTTCCTTAAAAGCGGCACTGTCATGCCGAACTTACCTTTCCCTACTCGCTTCCTCTTCTCTTCATTTCTTCCTGTCTGCTCTAGTTTTCTTTAAAACATAAGACAAAGTAGGGACTATTTTGTCTTATATATATTTTCTACGCCTGACCAGCTATGACCAGCGGAGGAGCAAAGTGTGCTCCATTTCCTGTGGTCAGATATATTTTTCCACAATTCTCACCTTTCCTCTGATCTTGCGATGTCTCCTTTCACTTTTCTCAAAATGTCATCTCATTTAGACAGAACACCGACGAAACTACCAATTTTCGTCCTAACAGAATGAGAACAGTTTGTTAATTCATGTTAGGACGACAATCTGTACTTTTAGGTCGGACCTATTGTCCTCCCTCCGACTCCCACCCATAAGTGGCGGGTGGGGGCACTAAAAGATAATGTGGGGACCTATTGTCCTCCCCCCGGCCCCACCCATGAGCAGTGGGTGGGGGCTTGGGGACCCCTAGTTACCCCATGGGGGGTATTTTTACATTTAGCCCACACCCGTCGCCCATGTGTGGGGGTCAGGGTGAGGACAATAGGTCCCCGCCCTTTTCATTTAGGGCCCTCACCCGCTGCTCATGGGTGGGGGCCATGGGGAGGACAATAGGTTCCCCCCCCTTTTCATTTAGGGCCCCCACCCGCTGCTCATGGGTGGTGGGCAGGGGGGAGGACAATAGTTCCTCCCTTTCCTATTGTCTTTTAGGGCCCCCACCAGCCGCTCATGTGGGTGGGCCGGGGGGAGGACAATAGGTCCACCACATTTTCATTTAGGGCCCCCACCCGCCGGTCATTTAGGGCCCCCAGCCGCCGGTCATGGGTGGGGACCGTGGGGAGGGCAATAGGTTCACCCCCCCTTTTCATTTAGGGCCCCCAACCGCCGCTCATTTAACCAAGCTTGCTTTTATATTTAAAATGGATTGGTTGGACACACTAACTAACAAAGAACTTCTAGCCAAAAAATTTCTCTTGACCTGGAGAGATATACTCACTAGACAAATCTTTCAAGACCAAGGTGAAAACCACTTTGGCATACACGGCATGGTTCTCGGCTGAGGTGGTGGCGGTTCGAGAGATGGGCCTAACTCACCATATTCTTGAGCACTTGCTTACATTTGTGTTAAAGAGTGGGGGGCTAAGGCAAACCCCGCAACTAGTTTAGTTTGTTCTGTTTGATTTATTTTGATCTCTAAATTCACGCTTTGATAATGGTGTAACGGATCACTTGATCCGTGGACCTCCTTTGCTGTACCTTCTCCTGCTGTTATCTGTTGAAATGCAAACTAGTGCATATCCAATGTATGTTTCATTGTCCCGAACAACAACAGATCATGCAAGGGGTATCATGGGGGAATAGGCAGTGGTTGAGCATGTCGGCCACCCACACCTAAAAGGTTATGATGTTCCTCTGATCTCCTACTGGTAACTGTTAAAGCTCAACCTCTTATTAACAATGGTTTTGTAAATCTTATTTAGTTTTGTTGTTTTGTTTATGTTGAGAAATCTACAAAATAGTGAATGTAACTGATTGAATATCATTTTCCAACTGTCAAGACTGCTTTCAAACTGTTGATGTCATTCGTGCCCTATTTTTGTATCATGCATTCACAATAAAAATTGTTTTTGAAAAAACCCCGAAAAATACCTGGGAATATGTACTCCCCCCCACTCATCCCCCTAAAAAAGCAGAGTGACAAAAGTATGTTGACAATACATTGTTTAATTTATAACAACTAAGAAATAAACTATATTTAGGCAAAACCAAGTTGGAAAAACAGATGAACAGAATTCTGCCAAGTCAATTTCATTAAAATGTACCAATTATGTGAATACATAATTTACTATATAATTTATATAACCAATACCAATCTCTCTCTTTCTCTATATATAAATGGTATAAAGTACAGCACTATTATGACCTTTAAAAGTGTAGAAGAAAAATGGTCTGATTCATCAACATTTCAGTTTAGGATAACATTTTCTTTGGACAATTTTTTTTTAAAATTAGACATCAACTTCATATAAAAAGAACCAAGCAACTGGAAGAACCCCTCAAATCAATCACCACTGGATACCACCCATGTCTGCAATATACATGGTGGGTTAAGTTTAGAACTTAAAGGGAAAATCTAAGCACCAAAACAACTTTAGCTTAATGCAGCTGTTTTGGTGTATAGATCATGCCCCTGCAGTCTCACTGCTTAAGTCTCTTGTTATTTAGGAATTAAATCACTTTTGTTTTTGTAAATGCAGCCGTAGCCACACAGCCACCTTAAAAATATATATTTTTTCCCCCAATCAGATCTTACAGCACAGTGTGTTTACGTTAGAAGTTATTGTCTCCTGGTATGTTAATTGAACCTAACCAACTACAGCTTAATGTAGGTGTTCTGGTGTCTACTGCCTGTCAGGTCTTTTAATGTAAACACTGCTTTTCCAGGAACACCTTTAGTGGCATTCACAGCCACTAGAGGTGCTTCCATGGTCAAATGTACCAAGGGGACCTGCCAATGTTCCCCCTTGCCACCACCCATGGTCGGTGGGTAACACTAAATAGGTCATGGTGGAAACTGTCTCTCGTCCTCCCCAGCCACCACGCACTGCGAAAAGTCAGAATGTCTGGATTGCATTTAAGGTAGTTTTGATGCTACTTTACACAATCCAGATATGGATAGATTTTTATTTAATGTCTGAATTTTGCATTCTAAATGCCCCTGTATTAAATTTAATTATCTGTAACAATCTTGGCCTGTGAATTCAGTGAATATCCTTATGTGTGTGCACATACATGCTCACATATGAGTATAAATATATGCTAAAGCAAATGTTTTACAAACTGTCCATGGAGTTAGCTATACCATATTAGTATACATTTAAGGGCCATCTGTCTAGCGTTCTCAATATTATTTTAGTACTTAATTGCTATTTGTATATGTCAAAATAACAAGTGATTTTGCTGAGCCCATTGTCATATATTTCCTGTAGGTAGATAGGTTTCTCAATTTAACTGAAGACCAGAAGACATCTTTAAAATGGAATTTTCTTTTGGAGCGCTGCAAAATCCATTTAAAGGTTAGAATGCTTTAATAAAATAGACATTAGTAAATAGCCATTTTATTTTAATTCTTCTGTCCATAACACTATATGACCACAGGAAAATTTTTATTATATGTCCTAACGTCCTTGCAGTGAACTTAGATTATCTTCACAAGTTACATAAATGACACTACAGTTAAAACAGTTTCCATGGAAATGTGAGGTAAATACCATAAAAAATACATTTGATGTGGAATGTTTATGGAGGTGTCTGAGCAGTTTAATTACAGATTAAAGGTTAAATATAATCTACACCAGTTAACAAAATAAAAAAAAACATGTTACCAGTTTTAACACAGCTGCATGCACTTGATATTTGACGTTACACCTGGGTAAAACATCCTAGTTTTGGTGGTTTAAATAATAAACTTCATCTATAATTGCTATATTTAATCAAAAGAAAGGCCATTTGTAGCCCATTGTATAGTTCAAACTTTGCTGAAGTGTAAAGGTTATTCTGCTTAGTTATTCACTAAACACCTATTTGTACTGAACTGTAAAACAAATGGGATAATTTAGGATGAATTAGCCAAGCTGTATCTTTACAGACATACATCAGCTACATTTTGCCATTCGGTTTTCAATTCACTGCAGTCCATTGTTTGCTGAAACCCCCCTCCTTGTGGAAATCTGCATGTGATGTGTTATGACAGTGCTTCCCAAACTTTAAAGGTACACTTAATATTTCAATTTGTTTCCAAGGCACTCCAAGTCAAAACAAAGTTCTAGGTTGTATGTCTGCGGCAAATACTGGCACTATAGTATAACGTATAATGTTGGTGTTTGGTTGAAAGGGTGTTTGTATATAATTTTAGTGTATTAATACAAATGCGTGTTTGTATGTAGTATTTTCATTTGATGTAGGGGTGTGTTTGTATGTAATGTTTTCTTTTAAATGCAGATGCACATGTGTGTAGTATTGGTGTTTGAGTAAAGGGGTGTGTTTGTACATAATTTTGGAGTTTTAATGCAGGGGTGTGTTTGTATATAATATTTATGTTAGATTGCACAAGTGTGTTTACATGTTGAACTGGTGTGTGATTGCTTGGATGTATGCACATACATACATACATACACAGATACATATAAATACACTGACACACACACACAAATTCATATAGTTATACGGAATCTGTTGGCGCTATATAAATGGCAATAATAATAATAATAACACATACACACACCTTGACACATACACACACCTTGACACATGCACACACCTTGACACATGCACACAAACGCGCACCCTGACACACACAAACACTGACACATGCGCACACCATGGCACAGATACACACACTGACGTATATATTGGGGAATATTGCATATTTCATGTTGATTATGTATGGATGTCTGGATTGACATAAGTAACAGATGGTATCACAGTTACAAGACTTACTTTGTCTGAGAACTATGGAATGTGGATTGGGGGTCTTGTCCTAATATGGCTAGGATTATACTCTGACGTCATTATGGTTATATCTATATAGAATAGGTGACAAAGGACCACGAGGTCTTGCTGTTGCCTGCTGCACGAGGTTCATCTTCTTGTCCATCTGTCTAACTATGTAGACTAACTCTCCCTTCAGGAGTCCAGCAATTACCATCTGCTGTTGAATATCCATTATCCTGAAACATATTTTGTTGTTTTATTATATATCCGTAACTGTAAGAATAACCTTGAAGTCAGATTGCGTATTAGTAAGTTTGGTTAATATAGACGTATATTAACATGGCAAGCCTTTTACCCAATAAGAAATATATATAAAATAATTATGCCAATCAACCTGGAGAAACACGCAGAAAGAACAAAATGTATTACATATATACACACACACACACACATACAGACGCACACCCTGTCACATAGATGCACACACTGACACATACACACACCCTGTCACACAGATGCATACACTGACTCATACAGACGCCTTGACACATGCACACAAACGCACACCCTGACACACACAAACACTGACACATGCGCACACCATGACACATAGATACACACACTGACATATATATATATATATATATATATATACACATACACACACTGATATATATACACACACACAGATGCACACCCTGACAAACAGATGCATACACACAGATACACACATACAGAAGCACACCCTGTCACATAGATGCACACACTGACACATACACACACCCTGTCACACAGATGCACACACTGACACATACACACACCTTGACACAGATGCACACACAATCTGACATACATACTAAAGGTAAGCTAACAGGAGGGTGACTGTAGATATAAAAACATGTAAATGTATTTATATCTGCAGCCACCCTCCTGTTAGCTTACCTTTACTGTCTGTGAGTGTGGCTTGCTTGGGGCCCTAGCAGGAGTGAGAGGTCTGGAGCAGCTCTTTGTGCTCCTCTCCTCTCATGCTATCTCTGTCTGTGCAGCCAGTAAGAAGCTGGAAGAAAGTGACAGGGTGTCACTTCATCCCAGCCGGCCGACACTACAGAGGCTTGGTCACGCTCAGGGACGGTGCAAAGATTTTTGGGTACATAGGCAAAGATGATTTTGGACCCCACCCCTTTTTTTCCCTCTTGTGTATCTTACAACCCTCCTTTGTATGTCTAACTCCCCACAGCCCCTCTGTGTCTCTTTTTCCTCTTCTCCAGCCCCTCCGTGTCTCTTTCACCCCTATCCCCTTTGTATTTCCATCTCCAGGCCCTTTTGTGTGTCTCTTTCATCCCCAGCCCCTCTGTGCATCTTTCTCACCCCCATGACACCATCTGTGTGTCTTTCTCCCCCCTCATGTCTCTCTGTGTGTCTTTCTCCCCACTCAGCCCTCCCCCCCCGTGTTCCACTCTCCCCTCTATGTCCCTTAGTGTTTCTCCCTCCCCATCCCTTAGTGGCCCCCTCCCTGTCCCTTAGTGGTCCTCTCCCCTCAGGCTGCGGTACAGGATCTTCAGTTTCCTCTCAGTGAGCACTTCCTTTGAGTCTGGCCTGGTACAGGAAACAGACCCTCCTGTACTGGGGTCCGCTCGGCCACGCTACACTGAGTACGCTGTGCGCTTCCCTCCTGCCGGGTCACACAAATCTAGCGCCGCCTGTGCCGCCTTATGGACGTGCAGGCCCTGGTCGCGCTCTTAAAAGGGTCTTGGCTTCTGACTGGGCCATTGTTCAGCAGAAATGTTTCCCCGGTGATATGATCATAGACCCGGGGAAACATTTTGGCACACAGTTTGGGAACCTCTATGTTATGATAAATCAAGTGGGAGCTTACATCTGTATAGATATCTCTAGATATTTTTTTTTTTTTTATTAAATTCTTTATTTTTTGTGCAAAGAAATGATACAGGTGAGTGCAACACCACAACAGTTGTTGCTTGCTTGGATATCAATCAGACAGTACATTAGTGGCCTCAAGGAACATTGCACATTTTTAGAAATAACATTAGGTATAACAGTAGTGGAAAGCAGTTATTGTGCCCCGTGTGGATATGAGTAGAGTGGTGCATTAGTCTGAAGACGGTGTCCACAGTGGGGTTTACCTCCAGCCTACATATGTTATGAGTGTACTTAACGGAGTCTTCCAGGATTCGGCCGGGGGGGGGGTATGGCCTTGTAAATATGTGTGACTATGTGGTCTGACATTGTGGATGTGTCGGTCTTCTGTTACCAGTGTGCCAGTAGCTTGTGGTGTATGTGTACAATGTAGGAGCGGGTTATATTAAAGAACAAGTAGCAGTAATACAATCGTGTGTGTGGGCAAAACGGTTTTGCAACAAATCAAGGCGTAGTCTTTAACTTGTATGGTATACTCAAGGTGGGAGCAGTACGTTGGAGGGTCTCCACGGGTGGTCTTCCTCCGTCTCCTCAGGGAGGCAGGCTGCTAGGTGAGGCTCTGGGGTTGTGCCTTGGGACGAAGTCTCGGATGGCGGTCGGGTTTATTTGGGATAGTCCCTGTTTCTGTATTGTAGCGGTTTGTAGGATGCCTGTTGTTTGCAGGTGTAGGTCGAGTTCTTGGTAGTCTTGCGCTTTGTATACAGTCCCGTTATGTGTAAACACTACAGCTCGAGGTGTGCCCCATCTGTATGGAATTCCTCTGGCCCGTAGGTGTTGTAGGAGAGGCTGTAGGGATTTCCGCCAGGTTAAGGTGTTTTTGGTGAGATCTGGGAACACTGTTAGTGCGGCTCCCTCAAATGACATAGGGGTTTTCCCTCTCAGTGCGGTCAGCAGTGCGGTTTTGTCGGAGAGGGTTTGGAAGCGCAGTATGAGGTCTGGTGTTGCATTCGTTGGTGCTCGCGGTGGCTTGGGTATTCTAAACATCCCATCCAGTCTCAAGGACTTTATTTGCTTTGGTGGGAGCAGGACTGCTAGGAAACGCCTAATGTAGTGGGGAAGGCCATCGAGGTCGACTGACTCGGGTATCCCCCTTATTTTCAAGTTGTGGCGTCTCCTCTGATCCTCCAGGGCATCCAGTCTGTCGGTAGTGATGGTCTGCTGCTTTGTTAGATCTGCTATTTGCTGCTCTACCGTTGTAAGTCTTGTCTCATGGGTGAAAAAAAGAAGATAATAGGCGCTCGCTATAGTGAACAGGCAGCAGTATATACACAAGGATTCCCAAACCTTGTAAGTGAATAGTGGAAAAAAGAAAAACGTATACCGCGCCTAATTTATATATGTGAAATATACATACATATATCTTGAATATTCCAAACGGATCGTAACCTCAAAGAGAACAGATTAAAAAACAAATGATAGTGCAATACAGTAAATATATTCTTTAGAGCAGATAGTATAAGGCTAAGTTCAATCCACTCACATATGGATGAGCTATAACAGAGCTCTGCTGTAAGAACGCCTGGACGGTACAATCCCCGTCTTTGGATTTGTAGAAGTTTCCACGAATATTTCCACAATGCAGTGAGCGTAGTAAATATGAAAGGAAAAAAATAGCAGCAATATGGTGAAGTAAGTACTAGTGGTATGACCAATATTAAATAGTATTGTACTTACAATTTCTAGAGCATATATCCTGCTCTAGTATAAACAGCAAGGGTGGTATAATCCCCACCAAGGATATGCAGGATCCAGGAAGTAAAATAAAAGATTGGAGTGGATATAAAAGTAACTTTGAAAAGTATACTTTAATATAAACAAGCTAAATAGAAATAAAATATTATAAAACATAAAATGTAGTCCCACTTAACGCGTTTCGCCAGGTTGGCTTCTTCAGAAGTGTGGTATCATGTCCAATAAGTCCGTTTATATATCCTCCTTAATGTAGGAATAATGTCCTGGTGTGCTTACTTCCTGGTTCCGGCTGTTTGCTGACACGCACGCGTCATACCGGAAGTGACGCGGCACCCGCGTCACACCGGAAGTGACGTAGTGCTCGCGTCTAACCGGAAATGATCGCGGCGTTTGTAATGCAAATTGATGTAGAAAAATAGTGATATCTAGATGTCCAGAGGTGTATGTAACACCAATAAATGATATAGATAAAATTTCAGGCATCAATCGTCCCAGCCTCCAATGCTAGAGGGTGTGGGCATGTTCCAATGGGAAAGTGATGCGGCGGCCATCTTTGTTGAGGGCAAACATCCATTTGGAAGACAACTAATAGGGTAGTTTGTGTACAACCATATAAATGTAAAAAAGAAAGAAATATACATATACCTAAAATATAAATGATGTATGCTTTAAAAAGGTTAATACCTATAAAAATAAAAATAAGAAATGGCACAATATAAATATTATAAATAGTTAAACATAATGGTCAAAGTTAAAAACAACCATAGGAGCATAAAACATAATAAGAGTAGATGAGGGGCATGCTATAAGAATGGACAAAGAATGTTGAGGGAAGGAGAAGGAAGAAAAAAAAAATAAAAAAAAAATTTAAATTATAAAAAATTGTATAAGTCGAAATCAACATTCAGCCCCTTGGGGTGTAGGGTATCAAGTTGATATACCCACTGCATCTCAGTTTGTCCAATCTTTCTTATAGCATCTCCCCCTCTCCAATGATTTTTAACTATTTTAATTCCCATAAACGTGAGGTGCTTGGGATCATTATTGTGCATGCAGAAGTGCGCAGGTATTGAGTGATTCTGTAGACCCTTTTCTATATTTCTACAGTGTTCTGCGATTCTGGTTTTTAGTGGCCTGATCGTTCTCCCTACATATTGGAAACCGCATGAACATTCCAATAAATAGATCACATTTTTGCTGTTGCATGTAATGACCTCTTTTATATTATATGTTTTATTGGTATTATTTGATTTAAAATCAGTGATCATTCTTTTAGTGGTTTTTGTCTTTTTACACGCCATACAACAATTACATTTGTAGAAACCCTTTTTGTCCATAAAATCATTAATTCTATTAGGGCTATTTCTTGTAAAAATTTTTGTTAGATGCATTTTAAGGTTAGGGGCTCCTCTAAAAATTACTTTTGGTTTATCAGGGATAATTTTTCCTAAAATTTCATCTTCCTTTAATAGATGCCAATGTTTTGTTAAAATTTTTTTCAGTTGTCTGTTTTTATTGTTATAGTCTAGTACAATAGGTAAAGTAAAGTCACGATTTTTCTGATTCTCTGAACCTTTGGTTTTATGTATAAGTTGATTTCTATTAATTGTGACTGTTTGATTAATGGTTGAGTCGATATGGTTAGCATCATAACCTTTTTGTATGAAACTTTCTCTTAGTATGTTAGCTTGCTTTAGAAACACAGCTTCATCAGAGCAGTTTCTTCTGAGACGCATCATCTGACTTTTAGGTATACTGTCCAACCATATCTTGTTGTGGCAACTTTTAGTACTTATATAGTTGTTTACATTTACTTCTTTGAAATGTGTTTTAGTTTGTATTGTGTTATTTTCAATATATATATTAAGATCTAGATACGTAACCATAGTACTGCTAAAATCCGCTGTTAAAATTATACCTTCTTCATTATTATTTAAAAAAGAAATAAAATCTTTAGCTGAACTAATAGGTCCTTTCCAAATGAATAGGAGGTCGTCTATATAACGAGAATAAAAAACCAGGTTCTGCACCCAGCTATGTCCCCTCCACACAGACCGATCCTCCCATTCAGCCATATAGAGGTTGGCATAGCTGGGTGCGAACCTAGTACCCATAGCTGTCCCAGTTTTCTGTAAATAAAAACTATCTTTGAACCAAAAATAATTGTGATTTAAAATTAGATCTATGCCATCAATAATAAAATCTTTCTGTTCTTGGAGCATAGAATCATCTTGTTCTAAAATGGATCTGATAGCCTGACATCCTTTATCATGTTTGATTATCGTATACAGCGATTGTACGTCACATGTAATCAATATATAGTCCTTTTCCCAACTGATAGTTTGTAATTTTTTCAGAAGATCTATTGTATCTTTTAAATAGGATCTTGTTCGTTTGACGTATGGTTGTAGCATTATATCGATGTATTCTGATAAGTTTGAAAGGAGGGATCCTATTCCTGACACAATAGGGCGTCCTGGAGGGTCATTTAAATTTTTATGAATCTTAGGGAGGAAGTATATTACTGGGATCCTGGGGTGTAGTATTTTGATGTAATTAAACTCTTTCTCACCTAGAATCCCAATGTCTTTTCCTCTTTCCAAAAAACCATAGAATTCAGATTTTATATCCACTATTGGATCATGGTCTAATTTAGTATAGGTCATCTCATCATTAAGCTGTCTATAAGCTTCTGTTTCATATTTCTCTTTGGATCGGATGACGAGGCCTCCGCCCTTATCAGCTGGTTTAATTACTATTGAAGTATCATTGTACAGCTCTTTTAGTATTTTCATTTGTTTCCTATTCATATTTTGTGTACCTTTTGTATTTTTAGTGTCTAGATATTTTAAATCCTTACTTACTTTTTTTTCAAATATATCTAGAGCGCTAGATTTGAAGTGTGCAGGATAGAAGGTGGATTTATTCTTTAGTTCACTGCTTTTATATTTCGTTGTATTTATATGATCAGAGTTATTTTTGTTGATGAAAAAGCGTTTTAGAGTCGCATTTCTGACAAATTTATTCACATCTATGTAAGCTGAAAAAGAGTTATATGGTTTCGTAGGTGCAAATTTCAGGCCTCGTTTTAAAATATTTTTCTCTGTTGTGCTTAAAACTTTATCTGATAGATTAAAAATGCCAGTAGGTGTCTTTTGTGTTTCATCATTTAAAAGCTTTCTAGCCTTCCTTTTTTGTTGTCTTCTGCCTGATCTTCTCCCTCTAGTACTCTTTTGCGGCTTTTTATAGGTGTGATATTGAGATGATGGATTTGTCTTTCTCTGTTTGAGGGGATCTCTAAAAAAGATGTTTCGTCAAATTGATCACAGAAAGATAAGGCATGATACTTATTGTTTTTGATTGGATCTTGAGGTGATGGTGGTTTATTTCCATTTTGTTTTTTATACATTTTTTGGGGGTTTTCCCAAGAGTACTTTCTATTTCTTTGTTTCTGTATAGGTGAATCTGGTATGAATGTGTATCTGTGGGTTTTAGGTCTTACAACTAAAGGTGATTCTTGAACTTTGTGATGTGTAGGATATTTGTGTTTGTCAAATTCTTCCATTTTTTCGGAATAACGTGAGTTCGGAAATTTTCTCTGAACATGAGTGTTTTGAAAGTGCGTATTTTGATGATGTCTAGTGTGAAATCTATCATATCTCGTGTTGAATTTCTCATTCTTTGTATTGTATCTTGGAGATCTATCTGGAGATCTCTGACGATCATTGTGAAAGTGCTTTTTTTCATAAAATTCTTTACTTTGTAGCCTTTTAGATCTAAAGGGCTGGTTTACTTGTGTATTTGGATGATAATGTGTTGCCCCATTCCTCCATCGGTTTTGATTGTTAGTTTTTTTTAAATTATATGTGCGAACTTGTTTTTGTGCATAATCATATTTGTCTCGATTATATTTCTGAACTTTTATTTTTTTTGTGTCAATTTCAATTCTTTCTACAGTTTTTTTAATTTTTTGTGATGCATTATAGTACTCTTCGGTATCTCCAAAAGGGATTAGTTGTTCTCGTAATATATTGATTTTTTTATCTATTGTAGATAACTTCTCATTTTTAACTTTAATAAGACTTTTCATCAGCCCAAATGTACAATATTCAAGATGGTTATACCATTCCTCCATAAATGTTATGTTTTCAGTGTCTGAGGTGGGCATTTTAAATAGCCTAAGACCTCTAGGGGTAATTTTTTCTTCTATGTATTTAGTCAGTGTTGCAATCTCCCATCTTAATTTCATTTCTTTTGTTAAAGAGAACTCTAATTCTTTTAATAATTCGGGTAAATTGTCGAAAACAATTAGTGGCTCATTGGTATTCATTTCTTCTAATTTGTTAAAAACATCATTGATATTAATAGTATAATTGTCTCGATATTCAAATAGAGACATATTAGAACAATCTATAGGGCAGCCTATATAGGGAATGTGTGTAATGATAGAAAAAAAGAAGAGAATAGGCGCTCGCTATAGTGATCAGGCAGCAGTATATACACAAGGATTCCCAAACCTTGTAAGTGAATAGTGGAAAAAAGAAAAACGTATACCGCGCTTAATTTATATATGTGAAATATACATACATATATCTTGAATATTCCAAACGGATCGTAACCTCAAAGAGAATAGAAACGGTGCAATACAGTAAATATATTCTTTAAAGCAGATAGTATAAGGCTAAGTTCAATCCACTCACATATGGATGAGCTATAACAGAGCTCTGCTGTAAGAACGCCTGGACGGTACAATCCCCGTCTTTTTAAAGCTACTTTTATATCCACTCCAATCTTTTATTTTACTTCCTGGATCCTGCATATCCTTGGTGGGGATTATACCACCCTTGCTGTTTATACTAGAGCAGGATATATGCTCTAGAAATTGTAAGTACAATACTATTTAATATTGGTCATACCACTAGTACTTACTTCACCATATTGCTGCTATTTTTTTCCTTTCATATTTACTACGCTCACTGCATTGTGGAAATATTCGTGGAAACTTCTACAAATCCAAAGACGGGGATTGTACCGTCCAGGCGTTCTTACAGCAGAGCTCTGTTATAGCTCATCCATATGTGAGTGGATTGAACTTAGCCTTATACTATCTGCTTTAAAGAATATATTTACTGTATTGCACTATCATTTGTTTTTTAATCTGTTCTCTTTGAGGTTACGATCCGTTTGGAATATTCAAGATATATGTATGTATATTTCACATATATAAATTAGGCGCGGTATACGTTTTTCTTTTTTCCTCTTGTCTCATGGGTGTCAGTACAAGCCTCCAGCCGTATGATTTTCGTTACTGCCCCTTCAATAGCCTCTCTGTAATAGGCCATATCCGCTGCCAGGTCCTTGCGGAGTTCTGCCAGCATTTTTTTGAGCTGATCCGCTGTGACCGGATCCCGTGCCATCTGTGAATCAATTTTGCGGTCCGGCGGGTGCCAGGAGGACGCTCCCTCCAGGAGGTCCGTGGAAAAATCCTCAGAGGAGTATGAGGATAGCTCGTCTGTCAGCGCCATCTTGGCCCATACGGCCTGCTGCGTGCTCCGGAGCATATCTCCAATATCCCTCCCGTGGGGACTTTTTTCGGCTTTTGCCTTCTTCGTTTTCCTGCCCATGATCTCCTCTCCTGTCGTAGGTAGGTTTTTTGTTTTTTTTGGGCTCGGATTCCGCTCTATACTGTGAGATTGCACGATTTAGTGTCGGAGCTCCGAGAAGTGCGACCGCTCCGTTGCCTTGCTTGCTCCGCCCCCGATATCTCTAGATATTTAAGAAAAACTCCTACCTCATAACAGCTTCTCCTCCATGAAGTTGTAACAGTGAAAGGAGTGCCTGGATGCCATATTATCATCATGATTAAACCCTTTTTGAGCGGTTTAAGCCTAAAGTTGTTGCCCACCCAACATTTGTCCTGTCTGCATCCTAGTCCTCCTTGGCCATCACACGGTACAGGAAGGTTTTACTTTGGATGCTGGTGATAGGCTGAGAGCATCAAATCATTCTGTATTTTATGGCGACTGGAGGAGGAGGAGACAGGACGCAGAGAGGACGGGGGACAACTTTGTGGTTAAATCATTCAAAAACAGTTAGGTAAGATGGATGGTTATGAAAAAATGTACTTACCTGAAATCGCTCACTTATACATTGAATACACCATATATCACAAAGATACACAGTGTATTAAATGTAAAATATAAAGATTCACTCACGTTTCCTCTGTCACAGCGCCACTTTGTGGGTGTTACTCTTCATGTAACCCCCACCTCCTGGCCTCCTGTCCCCCATCTCAAGTCAACTTTTATTTGCCCTGCTTCATTGCCAGTGTGCCATTGTCAGAAGGGAGTGACATCACGTCACTCCGTTCTTATACTCTCTAGCTGGTGCTAGAAGCACTTGCTAGGGAGCTTCCATTGCAACCTCAATTCATGACAACTGGGAAAAATATATATTTTTAAATAGGTTTTTGTGTTAATCTAAACATTTTCTAGCAAAACTGCTAGCACAATATATAGATAAACTCTTATGCTCAAGTTAATGAGCATAAGTTGTTTTAGGCGTGTCAGGTGCCCTTAAAGGGTTACTCAAACCCTTAGCAAGTCTATGTTTTTTTACTTAAACGAACACTATAGGGTCAGGAACACAAACATGTATTCCTTACCCTATAGTGTTAAAAACACCACCTAGCTCCCTGCAACCCCACCCCCTCCTTCCTCCCTAAATATAGCAAAATCTGACCATTACTCAAGTCTGTTGCTGCTGGCTCTGCCCCTGATCTGCCTGCTTAACTGGCATCATCAGAAGCGGTGTTCTGATCCAATCACAATGCTTTCACATAGGAAAGCATTGGATTAGCTGAGCTTGTCAAGGAGGAAAATCAGGGGTAGAGTCAGCACAAGCCAAACACAGCCCTGGTCAACCAGCATCTCCTCATTGAATCAATGCATTTCTATGGGGAAAGTTCAGTGTCTCCAGGCAGAAGGTGGAGACTCACCAGAACAAATACAATAAGCTGTAGTTGTTCTGCTGACTATAAGTGTCCCTTTAAAAGCTTGTAGGGCATTACTGTTTGTCCACCCATTAAAATCGTGAAAAATATTTATTTAGCATAATCCATCGCCAGGCGAAGCTCCCAGCACTGCTCTTCCATGCCTCGTACTGACTTCACCCGGCACTCACGCGGTCCAATCACAGGCTTCTCATAAAGAATGTGATTAGATATTTTGCAAGCACTCCAGGCCAGCAAGCGGAAGGGAGGGATGCGGAGTGAGTGGGCAGAGAGCTTTTCTCTATTTTTTTTAATAAAAAAAGACCAATGCTGCGGGTGGAAGCTTAATGTAGGAGGGAGAGCTAGCTTCCCCTTGTAAGTTCTCTGTCCACTGACAACAAACGTAATTTATGCACAGAAGTGACATTAGGCAGTCATGGACAGAGTTCGAGGGCTGCCAATGTCACGTGTGCTGTGAGTGCAGCTAGCCCCCAGCACATAACAGTATTGTTGTATGTGCAGTGTTTCAAGTAGAAACACTGTACATCCAGACTCCTACCACCATGACCACTTCAATCAATGAAGTGGTCATGGTGGTTGGAGTGACCCTTTAATAAAATGCTCATATTGCTTGCTTTGAAATTGCATTCAGAACAGGGGTATGCAACCTTTTAGCAGTATGGTGTCAAAACGAGATCTTGAAGCCCCTTGGTGTGCAGGTCCTATTTATTTTTTTTAAATTGAGGTTTGTATCTTGTCGTATTCTGCTTGTGGTATTTATGGGTGCTGCAGTTGCTTTGGAGATTTGTGTTTCTGTGTATGTGGGCTGTTATATTGTATAAGTTCATTAACAGTTTGTGGTATTGTGTGTGATACCTATGAATGTGGGCTGTGTATGGGGGCTGCTTATGGATTTGTGTGTATGGATGATGTCAATTGTGTGTTTGGTGGTGTGTGTGTATGGTCGGGGCTACTTGTGATACTGCACGTGAGACTATTTGTGTGGTTGTGTGCGTGTATGTGGATTGTCAGTGGTGTTGTGTTTGTGGGGACTGAGTGTGTTTGTAATTTGTATGAGTGGAAGGTTTATTCTGCAGCCCTATGTATATCTAGCAGTGTGGGTGGCTCCCAGGGGCCCAGTAAGGACCAGACTGGCTAAGTACAGGTCAAGGGTAGGAGCTGCAATAGCTGCTGCAGGCTGCTCTACTACAGTGCAGATTTCCATTCACAAGTGGTGATCTGAGATCCCTTGACTACTTTTTGCACTAGCAGATATCTGAAGTTCCAATGGGACTCCTGATAGACCATAGCCTGTTAGGCTCTGGCAGCCTTGAATGCTGTGCAAATGCACCTCGAGTGCCATAGGTTGCTGACCCCTGGATTAGAATAACATACGTCATAGCTACACCTATTGGTCTACTACATAATGGCAATGAGATGAATTAACATTAAACATTCTACAGCTAACTAAAAGGTTCCTGTCTTCTGGCTCATGCTGTATATTACATTTCTGTTATGGAAATGCGTGCTATTTTCGGTTATATGGCTTTATTTAATCAATGTTACATTTAATTAACTTTTCAAATTGATTTTTTACAGATATGCATGTCAACATATTCCAGAAGTGGAATGAGAGTTACTGTGCTCTCCTGTAGAATAGCAGACCCTATTGAAGCCTGTAAAGAAATTGTGCAGATGAGAAAAAAAATGTAAAACAAGTTTTTCAACCAGTTACTGCATCCACATTTTTGATTGATTCAGTCACTTGGTCTTCAAAGTATCACCTCAAGCTGTTTTCAATGATTACATATTCACTAGAACACGTTCCCTAGAATTCTTAACAGAGACTAGGATATTAGAAATGTAAGACATGAGCAGCACAAAACACTTATTTATTGTAAGTACTTTGCACACATTTGAAATTTTTACTATGAATTACTTTTGGAATTGAAAATAAAATAAACGGTGTTGCTGTATTATTTTTGTTGTTTACTTATCTATTGGATTTTTTTTACATTATGTCAATTTCATACCAATTTGTGCAAATTTAAATGGAAATATATTCAAGAGATAGACGAAATGGAAAGAGAAAAATTTATATTTCTGTTTTCATAAACTAAAGATGGTCCTGCTTATTTTTGGAGTAAGTGCTCATCCATATTTTTTTTTTTTTTTGTTTTATAGCCTATTCATCTTAGTAAAGAAATGAATTTATATATATATTTACTAGACGTGGAGATTAATTTTGGACCAAACTGCAATCCAGCCGAATTTGAGTTGATAAGGTGTTTGGCAGAATTCAAGAATCCCAAGATGAAATATACCTGAATAACAGACTAACTAAAATGCACAATGCTAAGCATAATCATTTTGAAAAAAACCCAAAAACAAACAAACGATTGATGGGAAAAAAAAGATTAATGATTGCTAGGGGCCAGTAGTCACTAAATATTGATATTATTCACAAATCAAGTAAGAGAGAGGGGGAAAAAAGGAGGAGCAGTAAAAACCATTCATCTATAATTATATATTTAAGAAATATATACTGTATAAATATTAAAAAAAAAATCTGCTCCTACTTTTTTCCCTTTATTGGTTACTTTATCTCACTTGATCAGTGAAACGAATGGCACTGGAAAGGCTCTGAGAAGTGCTGCAACATATATACATACCATTGTTATGCACATGTATTGCAACACACCGATCAGCCCACTTTGGCTCCTTCATGGTTTGCTCTATGGAATTAGTTTTCAAATCAACATTCAGTCGAACCAAACCAACATGCGACCAAATTTCAAGTGTCCCGCAAAATAAAAATCTATCTTCAAAAAACATTATTCGGCAGAACCCAAGTTTCTCGCTGTGCATTAGTCTTATATACAATCTCCACTGAGTGAACTAGGCAGTGAATCTTTCCATAATTTTTTCCATAATTGTTTTAAAATTGCCCCTTTGCCCTTCTTATTTGAACCCTGCTCACACTAGGTTCCGGCTGCAGAGATTTAAATCAACATTTAAATGGCAGTGTGTAGTGTTCACTTTGAGCCCTGCATACAGCTCATTGGCATTGTAAAGCCACTAATTCTAGTTCACAGAATGAATAATACTTTGAATTCCCAATTACAAGCACTAAAAATTCTCCCTACTGCTAAAATTCTGCATGACTGAATTAATCCATTGTTGGTCCTAGGGTAGGACAACCATGACGGAATAATTCCATCATAGGCAGCGATGGGGTTAAAGGAAAATCCAAACCGCTACAACCTTCTGCAGTGGTTCAGGAGCTGGAGTGACTGGCACAGTCCAACGTTAACATGTCAAACCCTTTAAGCATGGTTTGACAGGTTATCTGGATCCTGGTGGGCACACACGTCACATTCACTCTTTTCCAGCAGGAGAGGCCAGGTGTCACTTTGGAACACAGCAGGACAGCAATCATTGGTTGAGCACTCTAAGCCAGTTATTGGAGTCCTGTGTGGGTCCTGTTTTGCTTTAAATTTGAATCCAGTTAATGTGGTGGATGCAGAGTAGGTGCCCGACAGGATCCGTTAAGTTAGTTAAATTGTGCTTAAATAGTTTGCCTGCTTGCTGTGGAATGGTGCCAGGGCATTCCTCGCACCATAATTATTATTATTATTACTGGCATTTATAAAGCGCCAACAAATAAAAAGACAAACACAATAAGAACAGACCGATACAACAGTTAGAGGACCCTACCCATGAGCTTACAATCTAAAGTCACAACAATGACTGTTCTCATTACAAAATAATATATATTTTTAATAGCCTAAGGAAGAAGGGAACAAACTCACTTTGCTAGCTGGCCTCCTAGAAGTAATTGTTTGTAAAATTATTTTAAAAGGGACGTAGACACTCCTATTACAAAAATTATTTGTATGTAAAAAAAAATATAAAAAAAATAAAAATAAAATAAGATTTAATAGTATATGCTTGACATCTGCTCTGGCCTTTTAGAAAAACTGACATTCATAGTTAGTTCAACATCAAACCTTTCACATGTATTATAAGTGGAACTTTTAAAAAATAAAAAAGTAGCCTTATATGAATATATTGCAGATCATGTACTCCAGATGTAAAAAATACTAAGTTCATTGCTCCACCTTGTGGCTTGTATCATAACTGCATGTTATTTTATAATTTTACTATGATTTGGATCATTTATTTCATTTTATAAAACAAATTAAATCTCAATGTTAAACAAACAAAATCATCGTTATCACATGAACCGCCATAACTCGATGAACTTAGAGAAATCACTGCTACACCTCCTAAACGGTATTGCTTTCCCAAAGCAGCTATCAATGGGTTATCACATGAATGGCCATTTTAAACCGCTAAGACTGTTTCTCAACCTTAAATTTCATACTAATGATATTATCAATTCCTGCCATCATCTCATCGTCTTCCTTGACAGAAGCCACCCCTTTCGGTGTTCCAGTGAGAATGAGATCTCCTTCCTCTAGGGAGATTATTTTACTGATGTAGCTAATTAGAAATGGAATGGAAAAGATCATTGCAGAAGTGTTCCCCTCTTGTCTGAGGCTGTCATTGACCTTTAACCATATGTTCAGATTATGGGGGTCTTGTATTTTGTCTTTGGGGATGAAATCACTGACAGGACATGAGGTGTCAAATGCTTTTGCCAAAGTCCAAGGAAGTCCCTTCTCCTTGCATTTATCCTGTACATCTCGGGCTGTCATGTCTAAACACAAAGCGTAACCGTGTACGTGTTCCATTGCACATGCTTGAGATATGTTTCTTCCTCCTTTTCCAATCACAACCCCTAGTTCCACTTCATGATGAAGATTATTGCTGTAGTATGGCATGATAACTGGAGAACCTTCCTTCACATAGGCTGTTGGTGGTTTAAGAAACAGGACTGGTTCGGTAGGGACTGCATTTTTCAATTCCTTTGCGTGTTCTGCATAGTTTCTTCCAACACAGATTATTTTCCTCCCCCATTCCCAAAACTTACTGAGATTTTTAGGTGATGACATCATGTGGCAAATAATGTCAAGTCTTCTTGGTAAAAGTGCAACTACAAAACAAAATAAAACCAAAACAACTGAAATATCCATATTAAAATAATACATAGATGCTTACTCATTTAAAAAAAAAAAACCAGAAAATGCTTAGGTAATTATTGTCCAATTAACCCCAATACTCCTTAAATGAAACTCCAAGTAGTAAAACTGTCTAGACCTAAACAGAACTCCCCAAAATACCTAGAGAGACCTGTGTGGGAGTAGACTTTGGTGAAACCTCTGCAAATGTTATCTGGCAAACCGAATAGCTATAACAAGCTCTTAGTAATCCATTCCTATTGAAAGAATAATTTGTGATAAATATAGCAGCATTTAGACTGAGCCTACAGAAAAGAACATTCTGCCCTTTTACACGCAATGCTTTGGAAAGGACCTAGAAGAAGTGTTTAATTATGTAAGTTAAAAACAAGAAACACTGGTGTAAATGGTCCACTATGAAAGTGCAAAACCTTGAGACTACACATAAATAATTTGGCTTTTGTATCTCTCACTCCCCCCTATATAATTTTCCAATTGACTGCAGCTACATCATTCGATATAGCTTGAAGACGTCAGTCAAATTGTTGCACATGTAGGCACTGGTACTCCAGATATTGTGGACTACATCTCCCTTAATGCTCCTACAGCCATGATGCTGGAAAAGCATCAAGAGATATGTAGTCTACATCTGGAGTGCTGGATGTTTTCTACCCATGAACAATGGACTTTGAATCACAGCCACCAGTCAATACAGCCTTGTAACTCTCAAAGGAATGCTCTGACAAGGTCACTGGTACATCACACTATCAGCAGAACAAGTCTACTAACTGTAAGGTGAAACGATTGTTCTAATGTTTATTTACAGCCCAAGATGACAGAATGACAGAAAATAAACCCCATTTCCATTTGTGGCTTACAGAATCCTTGGTCCTGGAAGGGGTGGGACTATTGCTGGTACAATACACCAATTCCTGGTGATTAAATTGCATTACATTGTGACAGAGTTTATTTCTATTGTCTCTCTCCCAATTGCAGGGAGCAAGAGGTCAGTAATTCTGGCACAAATTTTATGATACTACACCCCTGACCCTCTGCAAGAATTAAAAATAAAACAGCACTGTGATATGACCATCACATCTCTGCCTCCTTTAAAAGGTGCTATGCAAGTTAAAGAAGGAATACTGTAAAGGTAATGGACTTTAGGATCTCTTGCTATCTTTACTAAGCTACAAGGGATGAACCTTCCCAGTCTCTCAATATGGTAGAAAGAGGGAAGGGGTCTGTACAAGGCTTTCATAGAGGGTAGAAGTATAAAGTCTGTGTACTGAAGACATTTGCAAACTAGGATAATTTATAAGCCTGCCCACTTGGCGCAGTGACGTCAAGGGTTAACATTTACTTCCTATTTTTGCTGTTCAACCTTAAACCAACTTGTATGGCTGCATGTGCTCATTTAACACATCTGTGTGCTGACAGGTCACTGCACGCAGTCCAGTGCTCACTAAACTAAACTGGGCTGTGAGTTGGCTGAAAACAGGCTTTACATGGGTTACTGAGCAGATACACTCATTCTATATGAGGAGTCTAACTGCTACTGAGGAGATACAATTAATACACCCTAAACTTCTTATAGTCAGATGTTTATGGGATAAGAATAAAATATATTTATATACTAGAATGATAAACTACTGATTGATGGTTAGTGAGGGATCTGCCTTCTGCAGTACTGTCCTGTTTTTATTTTATTAAAATTTATTGAAATAGATGTGCAACAACTGCATACTGCTTCCCTTTAATCACCATTTAATGCTGATTATATTAACATTTTTAATAAACACATAGTCTGTAGCTCTCTCTATAACCAAGAGCATTGCTGCTGCTTATTTTAATATGATAATATTTCTACTAAAATAGTATTACTTTTTAGCCTCCTTCCATAAAACGTTGCAGGTTCTGTAATAGCTGTGTGTATATAATATACCATATATTAATATATACTAATAAAGTAAAGAACAATACAGATCCCCTGCTGCTTACCTCTCAGGGAACAGAAAGAAACAGGAAGTCATTTACAGGGAGGTCAAACTCACATGGTGATCATTGCAGACAAAGTGATCCTATTGGACTGAGGGCACATGGTGAACTTTGCTCGTCAAAGTGAAAGGAATAGGCTAATACTAAGCCACTGATACATTGTACAACACATTGGAACACTGTGTTTCTGTAACATGCATAGCAGAATCGACGCCCCGCCTCCTGCTGTCATCACCGCCGCCATACTTGAACCGGGCAGAGAGGGAAATGACCCAGTGCGCAGGCGCGTGTAAACTACGTCCTTTTTACTTGCAAAAGAGAAACATTGCGCCTTCTCTGAGCATTCTTGCCCACAGCACCGCCCACTGTGCGCATCCTATTAAATATGATTCAAATTAAATTCTACAAGAGCTTTAGAAACCACTGAAACTTTACAAAATTTTATTTTTTTAAATGCGTTTATATAGTGTCTATACATAGAAATAGCAGAATAATAACTCATGTTTTTATTATTGTGTATTAAAAGGTGTTTTTTTTTTTTTTGCTGTTAGTGAGATCGTAGCCCAATTATTCAAAGAATACTTACTGAAATCAGTGGATATCACTGGTTAGTAGTTTGTTATTTTAACATGTTAATAGATGTTCATATGACAAGCAAAATAAGTTTAATTGCTGTGAAATTTTGGGCACCTGTTCTAAAGAAAGATATCATGGCACTAGAAAAAGTGCAGACGAGCTACAAAATTGATAAAAGGAATGGAGCGTTTTAGTTACGAAGAAAGGTTAAAAAATTTAAATCTGTTTAGTTTGGAAAAACGGCGCCTGACAGGGGATATGATAACTTTATACAAATATATGCAGGACCAGTACAAACCTTTATCTGGAAATCTAGGGCTATACATAGGACAAGAAGCCACACATTTAGGCTGGAAGAAAGGAGATTCATCTAAGGCAAAGAAAAGTAAGAGCAATAAGGATATGGAATTCTCTGCCTGAAGAGGTGGTTTTCTCAGAGAGAGTCTATACAGATGTTTAAACTGCAATTGGATAAATACTTGCAAAACCATAACATACAGGGATATAATTTCTAATTAGTGGGGTAATAGCTGCTTGATCCAAGGAGACATCTGACTGCTATTTTGGGGTCAAGAAGGAATTTTTTCCTAGTTTGTTGCAAAATTGGAAGTTCTTTAGACTAGGTTTTTTGTCTTCTTTTGGATCAACAGCAAAAACATATATGTGAGGAAGGCTGAACTTGATGGACGCAAGTCTCTTTTCAGCTATGTAACTGCTAGTAAGGTTACAGACACATTAAGTCTGTAGCACTGTATAAAAAAGGGTGCAGGGCATTAAGTTAGAGCCAGACAAACATATCAACCTACCATTACTTTAAAAAGATTCAATAAAAAAAAAAAAAAGAGAGGGGGCGGAGCTTGCTACCACACTGAACCAGACGCCATTTCTAGTAGCTCCTGTCAAACCTTTAGAATCCTGACGATATCAGCGAAACTAACACCCATTCAGCCTCGCGAACCACACAACCCGATCTAGCACAGCAAGCCGCATCGATAGATGCCATTCTTTCAGGCTCAAAATCTGCCCATGCAGAAACGCAAATCTGGGGCTTACCTCGCGCCCACGATCCAGGACCTCACCGACTGCCATTCCAGCTTATACACCGACCATGGAACGCAGATCCCAAAAACCTACGGCAGATGGACAACAGAGGCCATCGCCCCCATGGGAGATGAGTGGGAAACAGACCGCGCTCCCAGCCCAGAGCAGGAACAACCGGAGACATCTCCAATCACAAGGGCAACGCAGCCCCAGCAGCCTGAACCCTCGGACGACGCGGCCCCAACCACCAACGGAGATTTAAAACTCCTGCTAGGCAACATCCGCAAGTTCTTAGCAGCCGAGTTGGCCCTTCTCAAAACAGAAGTACAAGCTGTTACTGACTGCGTGAAAGCCACGGAGGAAGACGTGGTGGAGGTCAAAACTCATCTAACATCCCTCGATGACAAGGTACATCACATCCAGCTTAACCAGAAACTCATGGCACTCAAAATAGCCACCATAGCGGACCAGCAAAGGCGCACACATTAAAATCATGTGAAAACACCCAAAATGTACTTGACACTTGAAAAAAAAAAAAAAAAATCACATTAAAAGAGTAAGTGATATCTGTGTAACTCTTAATTCTTGTAATTTGATAAGTGGAATTTTTCATGGGGAGATGGAATACCACATATGAATCGGAGTAAACAAGAGGTTTGTAATCCCTTTCTGTGTTTTTATTATGTACGGGCCCATTCCCATCCATAAAATTAGCATATGAAACACATTTTTCAAGTTTATCATAATTAACATTAAAATAAAATTTTCGATGTAGCAAACTGTTTTTCACCTTTATTCGAGAGACAATACATGGTAAAATATTGCTTCAGAGGCCGCTAAAGGTACTTTGTTAATAATGTTCAAAATACGGACATTTGTGCCTTCAATACTGATTAACATAAAGGAAGAGAAAAAAATCAAGATCTTAAGAGGTGAGAATATATAGGCCTCCAGGTGACCAATGACGATGTTACTGAGCCTTCCAGGTGATGGGGGTGCTTGAACTTTTAGAAGGATCACTTACTCTGAATTAGAGGCGGGAAACCGAATTCTGCAAAAATGTTTTCTTTTGTTAATTTAAAAAATGTAGACCACTTCGAAATGCATTTTAACCTATGCATATAAACAATAGACATAAATTTATATTGCACATTATTTATATTTCCTGAGTGATGGTGCTATGTAATTGAGGGTTTTCAGAACTGTAAGGAAAATTAAGAAATTAATAAGATGATTGGTGGTAATTAGAGAATTTTTGAATTATATATTAGGAAGTAAAGTGAACTATTACTAGTGGAGCAGGTTATGACATAGCTCCTAACTCCAAAAAATGTAAAATACAGCTTGTTAAAATTCCAAAAAAAGGTTTGCCAAGAACTCTAAACACAAATAACCCAGAACTTGTCTTACCTTTTTTTATTTCTTTAGATGCCGTTTTATTTTAAATGCATATTAAACATTTACCAAATAATTTCCTAATCCTGCTCAGACGCGGCAAAGATTGCAAACAGGGATGTTAAATACGGTTTCGCCAGATTGGGATGCTAAGCAAATATAGGTGTATAATGTGTGTGATATTTAGCTGTTAGACACTAAATCAGTAAAAATAAAAAAAAAAATTAAAAAAAGATTGGGAGGTACGTTTGTTACTACATACAAATATAATGCACACTGTGGAATATATACAGTTTAAAAAAAAATAAAAAAAAATAAAAAAAATCGAATCTTCCTGTTCTTAAAGCAGCACTCCATGCACCATAACCACAACACGCTGTAGTGATATGGTGCCAGAAGTACCTTGGCAAGCCCTACTGTAAAGAGTCAAACCCTTTGCTAATGATTTGACAACTTACCTTCTGGGTGCCGGTCACTTTCGCCTGATAAGAGCTTCTTGCTCCCATGGTGGAGGCACTTGGCAAACACCAGGTAAGTTGTCAAGCTGTTAGGAATTTTTTTACATTGCGAGGCAGCAAGACACCACTAACTGTACTTGGTATGTTCCTTTAATGCCAAGAAAAACGGCAGGTAACTTATGAATCTGTACCGATGTAGGCAATTGGAACATGTAAACAATTGTCAATGCTCTAGAACGGTGGTGTCAGAAAGGTAGATCCAAAGTTATTGCAGCAATACAACTCCTATTGTTGAAGTTTGACAACAGCTGTGGCTTTAAATGTTGTCCCTCTCTGTCCTAAAATGGGTCTTTTTTTGTATCTGCTCAGATCCCACCACATTCAGTGTTAAAGTGACACTCTGGTCATCTAAATTAAGTTGTTATGGTGTCAGGAGGCCTCTGGACGCACTCTAACCTTAAGGGGTTAAATTGTTCTCGAACGATTTAACCCCAAATGTTGCCTCCAGCTCCAATTTCCAGATTCACCAGGTGGCATCTGGCTTCTGAATTTCAAGAAGTGCGGACTACCGCCGGACAGGGGTGCCGCTGATTGGCTAGAGCAGTCAGCTGAAGCTCAAAGTCAATCAGTAGCCCCCTTACGGATAACAAATAAATAAATAAATAAAAAAGTACGTACATAAGAGTACACCTGGGGGCCTCCTGGCACCATGATAACTCCATGTAGATAAAGTTGTTATGGTGACCAGAGTGTTTCTTTAAGGCAACATAGAGGGTTTTAAAATTCAGACTGATTTGGCACGTGCTAATAGCAAGTGATTTTCGGACCATGTAAACAACAGGCAGCTGTACAGCTTGACTGAAACAGCAAGGTATTCTACTAAACTCTGCATAAACCGAGAAAATAAGTGACCCACTTCCCCATTACTTTACAGAGCTTCAAGCTAAGAATTTTGTAAAATTTGATGCACTCTGCGACACAAGAACGTTTTATTCACTAGACAACAAAAAACCCTCAAGGAAACAGAGGAAAAGAGAGATCAGATCCACCAAGCACTAATGTAATTATAAAGGAAATCAAATACTTAAATCATTTTATATCATTTTATTATTTGACTTATTTAATTGATAGAAGATCTAGGAAGACAATATATGAATTATAAAAACACTACTATGTCCTCCATTTAATATTGTTGCATAAGCTTTCCAAATTTATTATTTTTGGATAAACTTTTTAAATGGTTTATTATGATGAAAAATAACTTAACTGGAATATATATTTTTTTCAAAGTGTGATTTTTTTTTTTTTAGACTTTTTAAAAAATATTTAAATATGTTGAAAAATAAAATAATTTTAAACGTTTATCCAAAAATATTAAACCATTTGAAAAGCTTATCAAACAATATTAAACCAAGGCTTTTGACAAATCATTGTCCTAGTATCTCAGTGCAAAACAGATTATCTACAAAAAACATACAGAGCAATACAACACATTAATATAATGATTACACATCCTCTTTCAGACACTGAGCAATCCCCAAATTTTAAATATATAAATGCCAGATAGACATGTCTAAGTTTTATTTTACTAAATATCCAATATAATCTTTAAACCTCCCAACGTTAGGGCGTGCTATGCAGTCCTACAAAAGGAGGACTTTACTGCCATTAGTGCGCTGTAATGATCGGGCCCTCCAAATACTCACCCTCCTCACCAGACCTGATCGGGGAGGGTGAGACTGCATGACACCCAAGCA